TCGAGTGGTAGAGCACTGGCCTTGAGCGAAAAGCTGACAGTGCCCAGAATCTGCATCCTTCTGTTCCCCTCCACCCACCCCAGGAAGCTGGGGGGTTCGTGACAGAGGGGCCCCGCATCCCCAGAATGCAATGGGGCTTGGTAACTCAGGGAGTAACTAGAATGTGAGGCCAGGCTAAGAAGAAATGCTATTCTGTTTTTATTTTTTTGTCAGTCATGGGGCTTGAACTCTGGGCTTGGGCGCTGTCCCTGTGCTCTTCAGCTCAAGGCGAGTGCTCTACTGCTTGAGCCACAGTACCACTTCCGGTTTTCTAGTGGTTTATTGGAGATAAGAGTCTCACAGATGTTCCTGCCTGGGCTGGCTTTGAACCACGATCCTCAGATCTCAGCCTCCTGAGTAGCTAGGATTACAGGCGTGAGCCACCAGTACCCGGCAGAAATGCTATTCTGGGCCCCTGTAATCCAAGCTACTCAGGAGGCTGAGATATGAGGACTGCGGTTTGAGGCCAGCTCAGGTAGAAAAGTCCCCGTGAGACTTTTATCTCCAATTACCCACTAAAAAGCCAGAAATGGCACTGTGGCTCAAAGTGGCAGAGTACTAGCTTTGAGCAGAAAAGCTCAGGGACAGCGCCCAGACCCCAAGTTCAAGCCCTACAACTGACCAAAGAAGGAGAAGGGTGGGGGGAGAAGAATGCAAGGAGGAAGTGGCACTGTGGTTTAGTGGTACAGCACTAGAAAATAAATAAGAAATGCTATGTGAGACATGAACCAAACCACTGTGTGTGTGTGTGTGTGTGTGTGAGTGAGAGAGAGAGAGAGAGAGAGAGAGAGAGTCCTGGGCCTAAACTCAAGGCCTGGCGCTGTCCCTAAGCTTCTTTTGTTCAAGGCTAGCACTGCTACCACTCGAGCCACAGCGCCACTGTTTTTTTTTTGCTTGTTGGTGATTAATTGGCAAGAAGAGTCTCCTGGACTTTCCTGCCCGGGCTGGCTTTGAACCACACTCCTAAGACCTCCGCCTCCTGAGTAGCTGGGAGGCCAGGAATGAGCCACTGGCATTGGCCTAAGCCACCTTCTTCAGTGCCAGTCCCTGGGGCTGTGGCATCCTGAGAAGAATCTGTGGCTGGAACCCACTGGGGAAGACCAGATTTTTCCAGAGTCCTCCCTGAGAGGCTGCTGAAGGGGCGCTGCGCTCCTCTTCAAGGATAAGCGACCAAGGAACTTGGACATCCGTTTTCCTAGGCACCAGTCCAAATGGGGTCTGTGCCTGCGTCCACAGCCAGTCATCCCTGGGCTGTGGGGTATGGGAGGGTGGAGAGGTTGAATGGCGGTGAGCGCGGGGAGAGGACTTTCTGTGCATGCCCAGTGGTGAGCCCTGGAACCTGTTGAGACTATTTTAAGAAGAGCAAAGGGGCCAGTGGCAGGCAGGGGGAAAGGTGGGGAAGGGGACTGTAGCTCACGCTTGTAATCCCAGCTCCTCAGAAGAGATCTGGGGATTACAGAGGTAAGCCCAGCCTGGGCAGAATAGTTTGTGAGAGCCTCACCTGCAGTGAACCACCCCAAAAGCCAGCAATGGAGCCGTGGCCCAAGTGGCAGAGCGCTAGCCTTGAGCAAAAATAAATTAAAAAACTCAGAGTTCAAGCCCAGGACTGGCGTGTGTGCACGTGCACGCGCACGCGCATGCACGCACACACACACACACACACACACACACACAGAGTAGTTTGGTTCAAGCTCAAAAAGCAGACTGTGGGTGGCATGAGTGGTAGAAACTATAGGACACAGCTACAGAGCTTGGTGCTCAGGGGAAGGCGGGGCTCCTCCTGCTCCAAGCCTCTGCTGTCCTCCCCGACCTCCAGCTTCCAAGGAGGGACCAGCCCAAAGGACCCCGATGCCCCCCCCCCCAGGGCGGAACCATCCGGGTAGCAGTTCCCACGGTTTCGCATCTCCGACGTGATGGGTTTGGACGTGCGCCCCTTCCCCTGCTCCGGCTCCACACTTGGCCCAGGCCTACATTTCTCTTCCATGAGCTCAGTCCCCCGGGGACGCAGGGCCTGGGGCCAGGCCAAGATGCAGCTGCCTGCGTGCTGACAGGGAACCTGAGCCCCTGCCCCGGGCAGACAGCGGGGAGCGGAAGTTGGGATGAGATCCTCACATCCAGGCAGGGGCTGAGGAGCTCCGTGGGATCCAGGGAGGCACGGGGGGGGGGGGGGCCCTCGGGGCGTGGGTCTGGGAACCCCCAGGCCTGCTGCTGTGTCTGATGCGTGAAGACCACCCCCCCTCCCCCCATGGGCTCCGTGGCTCTTTGCCACAGAGTGGCACTGTCTGCTGCCCACGTGCAGCTCCTCCTCTTTGATTGTCAGTACCCAGCCTCTACACCCAGTGGGGTGTGTGTGTGTGTGTGTGTGTGTGTGTGTGTGTGTGTGTGTGTGTGATACTGGGGCTTGAAGTCCGGGCCTAAGCATTATTCCCTTAGATTTCTGCTCAAGGCTAGCGCTCTATCACTTGAACCACAGCTCCAACTCCAGCTTTTTGGTGCTAAATGGAGATGAATCTTATCTCCTGAAGCTGGGCGCTGGTGGCTCACGCCTGTCATCCTAGCTACTCAGGAGGCTGAGATCTGAGGATTTCGGTTCAAAGCCAGCCCGGGCACAAAAGCTCCTGTGAGACTCTCATCTCCAATAAACCACTCAAACACTGGCAGTGGCACTGTGGCTCCAGTGATAGAGTGCTAGCCTTGAGCACAAAGAATCTTAGGGACAGTGTCCAGGCCCTGAGTTCAAGCACCACAATTGACAAGGGAAAAAAAAAAGAAAACCAAGCAAAAAAAACTTATCTTGGCACCCTAACTTGCAGATAGACGTGACAAAGCCATTTCCTCTGAAGGGAGATAGACAAGAAATAAGACAAGGTGCTGGTGGCTCATGCCTATAATCTTAGCAACTTAGGAGGCTGAGATCTGAGGATCACTGTGCAGACAGCCCCGTCAGGAAAGTCATTGAGACTCTTGTCTCCAGTTAACCAGCAAAAAGGCCAGAAGTGGAGCTGTGGCTCAAGTGGTAGAGCAGCAGCCTTGAGCAAACAAACAAACAAACAAACCTCAGAGACAGTGCCCAGGCCCTGAGTTCAAGCCCCAGAACTGGCACACACATACCAAAAAAACAGTGCTTTTTAATGCAATTGAGCCCTGGCTTTCAGTCCCCAGCACTGGGTTGAAATGACAAGACAGGACAGGGCAGGAGGGAGGAACCTCAGTATGCCGTTTCCCCAACCTGTCTCTGTGAGGAGCATTACAGCTGAGACTTAAAATTGGGAGAGGAAGCAGGAAGACAGGGAGGCAGCGGAAGGGAGGTCCAGGCAGAGAACAGCAATGGAGGACACCCAGAGCGGAAGATGGATAAAAGGAAACCAAGGAGGGTGTGGGGGGTGTGGCCTGGATGGGGTGGGGGAGGAGGGAGAGGTCAGGCTGAGTCCCACAGGGCCAAAGGGTCTGGGATTCTAAACCAAGGGCAGTGGAAGTCCTGGGAGGATTCTAGCAGGGGACCTGACTGGATTAGTTTGTCAGCCTTCCCTCGGAATAAAAGTCCTGTCTTCTTGTCTCCCGGGAGCCACATCCCCAAAGAGTTCACATGGCCCCCTTGAGGCTCCCACGGCCTCCTCCAGGAGCTCTGGGACCTTTTGTGTGTGTGTGTATTTATGTATTTGTTTATTTTCGGGATCGAGGCTCGGACGCAGGGCCTGGTGCTCTGGCTTTGGCTTTTTCCATCAAGGCTGGCACTCTACCACTTGAGCCACAGCTCCACTTCCATCCGGTTTGCTGTTGTTGTTTGCTGTTAACTGGAGACTCACAGAGACTCTTTTTAGTCCTGGGCTGGCTTTGAACCGCGATGCTCCCATCTCAGCCTCGTGAGTGGCTAGGATGGCAGGTGTGCGCCACGGAGCCCGGCTGGAGCGTTTCTCCCTGGTTGCTTACGGATGAGGCTTCCTTGGGGTGGAGCACAGTTGTTGCGTACCGGTATTTTTTTGGTCTCTTCTTTTTCGGTACGGGGGATGGAACCCAGGGCCTCTGTACTTGCTACGCACACCCCAGCCCAGTTTGCTTCTTTCTGTCTCGGTCCCGCTGCTGCCTCCTCCAGGCAGCCTCAGGGCCCGCAGGTGCTCGTTCCCGGGGGGCTCTGACCACTGCGGGCAGGGCCTGTCCCGTCCCGGACGGCGAGGCCAGCTGGGAGCAGGATCGGAGTGACCACCGATGGGGGAATGAGCGAATGAATGAGTGGGTGAGGCAGGGAGGCCATGAATGAACCGAACCTGAGACTAGGACCCCCACTCTGGCCCAAGGAGATGGTCAAGTGGAGCGGAAGAAAGGCGCATCCGGATTGGCTCCATTTGGAGGGGAGGGTGGGCCTATACTTAATGACAAGTTTCTATTGGTTCAATCCCTGAGCTCTGCCCAATCCACGCGTTGGCTCGCTTCAGGAGCCGCCCCCCCCCCCCGCCCCGACGCCTCCCCTCTCGCCCCGCCCCCTGAAGGCGCCCTCCAGTTACCCTGGCAACCGTCAGCGCTCGGCGTCGCCACGGCAACGGCCGGAGGCCTCCCGTCAGCCTGCGCCGGGCCCGCGGTCACCCTGACAACCGCGCCCCGTTCCGGTGAACATCAACCCTTCCCCGTCACCCCGGCAACCGCGGCCCGAGCCACCGCCCCCCTAGACGCGTCCGCGCGCCAAGCCGGCACCCCTCCCCCGCCCGGGCCCGGCCTCGGCCGGCCGGCGCTGGCCTTCCCGCCGCGGGGGCTCGTCAGCATGCGGGCCGCGTCCGCGCTGCGCGCCGGGGCCGGGCGGCCTGGCCCGGCGTTCCCGCCATCGCCGCCCCCCCCCACCCCCCGCTTCCGGCGGGGCGCCGCCCGCCCGCCGCGGCCGGGGACCCCCCCACCGGGGACCCCTCCCCCCCACCGGGGACCCCTCCCCCCCACCGGGGACCCCCCCCCACCGGGGACCCCCCCCCCACCGGGGACCCCCCGCCGCCGCAGCCGGGGACCCCCCCTCCTCCGCCCAGCCGGGACGTGGAGGCCGGGCCCAGGCAGGGCGGGCGCGGGCTCGGGCAGGGCGGGTGCGGGCACGGGCGCGGGCAGGGCGGGCGCGGGCAGGGCGGGCGCGGGCAGGGCGGGTGCGGGCTCGGGCACGGGCAGGGCGGGCGCGGGCAGGGCGGGTGCGGGCACGGGCACGGGCAGGGCGGGCGCGGGCAGGGCGGGTGCGGGCTCGGGCAGGGCGGGTGCGGGCACGGGCGCGGGCAGGGCGGGTGCGGGCGCGGGCAGGGCGGGTGCGGGCACGGGCGCGGGCAGGGCGGGTGCGGGCTCGGGCACGGGCAGGGCGGGCACGGGCAGGGCGGGCGCGGGCAGGGCGGGTGCGGGCACGGGCGCGGGCAGGGCGGGCGCGGGCAGGGCGGGTGCGGGCTCGGGCAGGGCGGGTGCGGGCACGGGCGCGGGCAGGGCGGGTGCGGGCACGGGCGCGGGCAGGGCGGGTGCGGGCGCGGGCAGGGCGGGTGCGGGCACGGGCGCGGGCAGGGCGGGTGCGGGCGCGGGCAGGGCGGGTGCGGGCACGGGCAGGGCGGGCGCGGGCAGGGCGGGAACGGGCAGGGCGGGCACGGGCAGGGCGGGTGCGGGCACGGGCAGGGCGGGCTCGGGCAGGGCGGGCTCGGGCGCGGGCAGGGCGGGCACGGGCAGGGCGGGTGCGGGCACGGGCACGGGCAGGGCGGGCGCGGGCAGGGCGGGTGCGGGCACGGGCGCGGGCAGGGCGGGTGCGGGCACGGGCGCGGGCAGGGCGGGTGCGGGCACGGGCGCGGGCAGGGCGGGTGCGGGCACGGGCGCGGGCAGGGCGGGTGCGGGCACGGGCGCGGGCAGGGCGGGTGCGGGCGCGGGCAGGGCGGGTGCGGGCGCGGGCAGGGCGGGTGCGGGCGCGGGCAGGGCGGGCGCGGGCGCGGGCAGGGCGGGCGCGGGCAGGGCGGGTGCGGGCACGGGCAGGGCGGGTGCGGGCACGGGCACGGGCACGGGCAGGGCGGGGCGCGGGCAGGGCGGGCGCGGGCAGGGCGGGTGCGGGCGCGGGCAGGGCGGGCGCGGGCAGGGCGGGTGCGGGCACGGGCAGGGCGGGTGCGGGCACGGGCAGGGCGGGTGCGGGCACGGGCACGGGCACGGGCAGGGCGGGCGCGGGCAGGGCGGGCGCGGGCAGGGCGGGTGCGGGCTCGGGCAGGGCGGGGCGCGGGGCGCGGGCACGGGCAGGGCGGGTGCGGGCGCGGGCAGGGCGGGTGCGGGCAGGGCGGGGCGCGGGCAGGGGCGGGTGCGGGCACGGGCAGGGCGGGCGCGGGCAGGGCGGGCGCGGGCAGGGCGGGCACGGGCGGGGCGGGTGCGGGCGCGGGCAGGGCGGGCGCGGGCGGGGCGGGTGCGGGCGCGGGCAGGGCGGGCGCGGGCAGGGCGGGTGCGGGCGCGGGCAGGGCGGGCGCGGGCAGGGCGGGTGCGGGCGCGGGCAGGGCGGGTGCGGGCACGGGCGCGGGCAGGGCGGGTGCGGGCGCGGGCAGGGCGGGTGCGGGCACGGGCGCGGGCAGGGCGGGTGCGGGCGCGGGCAGGGCGGGTGCGGGCGCGGGCAGGGCGGGTGCGGGCACGGGCGCGGGCAGGGCGGGTGCGGGCACGGGCAGGGCGGGTGCGGGCACGGGCAGGGCGGGCACGGGCAGGGCGGGCGCGGGCAGGGCGGGCGCGGGCAGGGCGGGTGCGGGCACGGGCAGGGCGGGTGCGGGCACGGGCGCGGGCAGGGCAGGGCGGGCACGGGCAGGGCGGGTGCGGGCAGGGCGGGCTCCAGCCGCCGGCGCAGCCCCGCCTCCCAGCCACCCCCGCAGGCTGGGTCGGAGGTGCACGGTTCGAAGCCAGCCCGGGGCAGGAAGGACCGACCCGCGAGGCTTTACCGCCAGCTAGCCAGGAAGGACAAAGCCCCAAGTGGAGATGGGGCTCCGCTCCGGGGTGGAGCGCGAGGCCGGGACGCACACAGCGCAGTGCGGGGCTGCGGGCGGGCAGCTCCACACCGGCTCCTACTCTAACACGTGAGCCCTGTGCGCAGAGGCTGGGCCCAGAGGCCGCCGGAGTCAGCAGGAACTGCTGGATGGAAAAAAATGGCTTCAGATGGCAGAAATCCTAACAAAGCCCAGGGCCGATCCCCAGGGATGGGCCGCAGCCTCAGCCCCGCGGGGACAAGAGACATGAGCCTGACTCGCACTAGGGCTCCCAGGGGGTGGGGCGGCCCGGGGCTGTCCTGAGCCGGCTGGAGAGGGTCTCCAGGTCCCCTTCCTTCCCCTGAGGGTCTCCTCTGCCGTGGGACGTGTTCAGGAGCCAGGCAAGTGGACCCCTGCTCTTTTTGTTTTGGTGCTGGTCCTGAGGCTTGAACCCGGGGCCTCCCTATGCCGCAGCGTGCGCGCGTGTGCATGTGTGTGTGCGCGTGTATGTGGTGACAACGGTGAGCACTATACCAACTTGAGCCACAGCTCCATTTCTGACTTTTTTGGTGCTTAATGGGCGATCAGAGTCTGGCGGACTTTCCTTCCCTGACTGGCCTTCAATGGCCATCTTCAGATCTTAGCTTCCTGAATAGCTTACAGGTCCTGAATAGGTTACAGACAGGTGTGAGCCCCTGGAGCCCCTGGCTTCAGGCTTGAACTCAGGGCCTGGGCGCTGTCCCTGAGCTCCTTTTGCTCAACGCTAGTGCTCTACCATTTGAGCCACAGCACCACTTCCAGCTTTTTTCTGTCTGTGGTACTGCAGAATCAACCCCAGGGCTCCACACATGCTAGGCCAGCGCACTACACTGAGCCACCTTCCCAACCCCCCCAATCACGTTTTTACCCAAGTATTTCTTGGAACCTTCTAAGTGCCAGGGAAGATTCCAGGCATTTATTTTCTACAAATAGATAAAATTAAAATACTCTTAAAGTTGATGGTCCAGGCAAGGACTTGCTCAGAAGAGGGCATTTTTTTTTCTTCACTCTTCCTCCCTCCTTTCATTCATGCACCATCATCATCATCATCATCATCATCATCATCATCATCATCCTCTCTCTCTCCCCCTACTGTAAATAGTAGTTTTTTAAGTTTTAGGGTTTCATCTCAGGGCCTCACACTTGGAAGGCGGTACAATACCACTTAAGCCAGATTCCCAGCCCTCTTTGCTTTATTTTTTCCAGTAGGATCTTGTGTCTTACCTAGAACCAGCTTTGGCCCACAATCCTCCTATTTATGCTTCCTGTGGAGCTGGGATGACAAGCATGTGCCTGGGCATGGGCCCAGCTATTGGTTGAGATGGGGTGCTGCTTCCTTGATGCCAGAGCTAGTCTTTGAGTCATGAGATTCCCGATTCCCAATCTCTACCTCACAATGTTTTAGTTTTATGATTTTTTTTTTTTGGTCCATCCTGGGGCTTGAACTCTGGGCCTGGCGCTATCCCTCAGCTCTTCAGCTCAAGGCTAGCGCTCTACCACTTGAGCCACAGCACCACTTCTGGTTTTTTTCTTTTTGCTTATGTGGTGCTGAGGAATCGAACCCAGGACCTTAGGCATGTGAGGCAAGCGCTCTACCACTGAGCCACCTTCCCAGCCCCCCTGGATTTCTTCTGCACACGTCTAATGCTCTACCACTTGAAGCACAGATCCACTTGGGCCTTTTTTTGTTTTCTTTTTTTGGTGATGAGGGTGGTGAGCTGGAGATGAGGGCTGGTTTCAAACCTTGATCCTCAGATCTCAGGCTCCTGAGTAGCTAGGATTACAGGTGTGAGCCACAGGTGTGTGTGTGTGTGTTTTAAGGCCTCCCATTTAAACTTGAAATACCCTCACTGATACAATCTCATGGAATGGATGCGAGGTTCAAATACTTAAGATGCAGAGCTACTTTAATTTTACATTTAATTGTAGTTCATTTCTAATTAATGTGCACTTACATGGGAAGCAGCCTCATGGGGCTTGTGCTATGTAGCGGATGAGTTATTAGGGAAGAGGAGGGGAGGAACTAACTAACAGGAAGGGCAGTTACAGTTCGTGTGGACTTGGGGAAGGAACTGAGGCAGGCACCCAGCGCCTTAGAGAACCGCACCTGCTTCCAACTGTCCGAGTGCTTACTCCTACCCGCACGCAACCTGCACACCCGAGTGTGAGCACAATGATTAATATGTGAGTCAGGGCCCTTGGCTCACGCCTATCATCCCAGCCACTCAGGAGGCTGAGATCTGAGGATGCCCATGCAAAGCCAGCCCAGGCAGGAAAGTCTAGAAGATTCTTATATCTCCAATGAGGCACCCAAAAAGCTGGAAGTGGAGCTGTGGCTTAAGGATAGAGCACTAGCCTTGAGCAAAAACATAATCATAATAAGAAGAAAACAAACCCTCAGAAACGGTGCCCCAGGCCCTGAGTTCAAGCCCCAGGATGGGCCCCAAATAAAAAGGTTGCATATTTCAGAGCACTCCCAAATCCATTCACACCCAATCTGGGAGTGGGTGAGCAGCTCACGGGGTAGGTGCGCTGGTGTGGCACTGCAGGCACGCACCGGGGGCGGGCCTGGCTGAGTCAGCCCCGAGTGTGAGGTGGATGCAAAGGTCCCCTAGCCCAGCAGGTCTTGCAGGAAGGCCCACATGTACTCGTGCATCTGTTGGTAGTGGGTCTGTGGGATCCAGTGGCCTGAGCCTGGCAGGATGTGGGACTCCAGCCGGCCCGGCACAAAGTGGCTGCTGATGGCTTTCACCAGTCCTGTCTGGAAGTAGGGGTCTTTCTCCCCCCATAGTAGCAGCGTGGGTGTGGACAGTTCCTGGGGTTCTACGGGGTAGTCTCTATGGCCAAGAGAGAGAGAGAGAGAGATAGACAAGACAGATGAACAGATGCCCCCCCCCCCCCCCCCAATGCCTAGCTCCGGAACTCTCTGGAACCTCTCCCGGAAGGTGTGGCCTCACCTGAAGAGGTTCCGGTAGTAGTTGATGGGGCCGGTGAGGGCGCCGGGCTGCGTCAGGTCGTACAGCATGGCCTCCAGCTCATCGCGTGTCAGGCAGGGAATGCCCGTCTTGCGGTCGGTGAAAATGGACTTCAGGATCTGGACACACAGCAAGGCCTCTGGCTTCAGTGTCCAGCCCAGCCGGCCCCCACCCCTTCCCTCCACCCGTCCGGCCTTCACCCCGCGGGACCTGGAAGTCAGACATGGACAGCAGTTTCTCTGGCAGCCAGGGAAGCTGGAACAAGAACAGGTACTTGGATCGGAACAACTGGCCGACGTGGCGCAGGGCATAGTCTTGAGAATGGGATGACAGGAAGTGGATGTGAGGCCTGGGCTGGGGGGGGCTGTACCCCCACATCACACACACACCACCTCCTGCGCCAGAGCCAGCATCCCTCTGTGTCGGGGGGGGGGTCATCCTAGCCACAAAATGGGACATGGGGTTCCTGGGGGATCCCCATAGCCACTGGCTTGGCTTCTGCACACCGGAGATGGGATGTATTCATTCTTCCCTGCTTCAGGCAACGTACGTTAGTAACTACTATGTGCCAGGCTCTGCTCTAGACTCAAGACATGCAGGGAATGGGATGCCAAACTCCTCAGGGAGCTGGCATTTATACAGGAGGGAGACAGACAAGAAACTGAGAGAGAGGGAGAGAGGGAGAGAGGGGGAGAAGAGGAGAGGGGGAGAGGGGGAGAGGGAGAGAGGGAGAGAGGGAGAGAGGGGGAGAGGGGGAGAGGGGGAGAGAAGAAGAGAGAGAATGAGAACGAATACATGATTATAGTGCTGGTGGTTAAAATCAGGTATCACACAGGTGCCAGAGGCTCCCGCCTGGCATCCTAGCTACTCAGGAGGCTGAGATCTGAGGATCACGGTTCAAAGCCAGCCTGGGCAGGAAAAGCTGTGAAATTCTTATCTCCAATAAACCACTAGAAAACTGGAAGTGGCGCTGTGGCTCAAGTGGTAGAGCGCTGGCCTTGTGCTGAAGAGCTCAGGGACAGCGCCCAGGCCCAGAGTTCAAGCCCCACCCCCGACCAAAAACAAAAACAAATCAGGTATGGATGGGGCGGAATGTGTGTTAAGCAGAACACTTGAGAATCTAGGTCCCGTTCATACTTAGCACCCCAACAAATTAACCTAACAAATTGAGTTTCGTAAAAGATATTGAACAGCCAGAGAAGGCATCTGATCCGGCTGTCGCTTGTGATTTGCTTGTTTACGCCCTGCTACCCAAAGCAGACTAATTTACTTTCCTCACCTCAGTTTCCCCTCTCCCCGGGGTGGGAACGTGGGGTGCATCCCAGCCTCCCAGACACACCTTGAAACACAAACTTGGGGGGGCCACTGACGATCACCATCCGGTCAACCAGGGACGGGAAGTAGACAGAGAAGTTCCAGGCGAGGGTGGCGCCGAAGTCGTGGGCCACGAGGACACATTTGGAGTAGCCTGGGAGAGACAGAAGGTGCCAGGCTCATGCCGGGGCTGGGAAGGGCGCTAGCAAGCAGGGCAGCAGGAAGAGACAGGCGCGGGCAGGATGGAAATGGCAGGTACCCAAGCCCAGGATGACATCTTGGATGTCAGCCATGAGCAGCTCTGTAGTGTAACAGTCCACATCCCTGGGCGCATCCGAGGGGCCGTAGCCACGCAGGTTCACCGCCACGGTGTGGAAATGGCTCTGGAACTCCCTGAGCTGGTAGCGCCAGAAGAACCTGCCCAGTGGGAGAGAGAAGGCTGAGTCAGTGTCCTACCACCACCATCAGATTAGCAGCAGAACCCTTGGGCGGCTGGGCTTTCTGGAAGGGGTGGATGGGGAAGCCCCAGACCTCGGATCCCATCTCCGCTCCAACCCCTGCAGGCATCCCGGACTCCCAGTCAGCCCCAGTCAGCCCGTCCAGGCCCAGTCCTGCCCATGTGGGGCCCCGCAAGCCCCAGGAAGCCATACACACCAGTTCTTCGGGAAGCCGTGAAGAAACAGCATAAGGGGTCCGTTGCCACGGCCCGCGGAGACGTAGTGCAGACGCAGGCCCGAGCTCTGCGGGAGGAGCACCCACCTGAGCCAGGCCCGAGCTCTGCGGGAGGAGCACCCGCCTGAGCCAGGCCCGAGCTCTGCGGGAGGAGCACCCGCCTGAGCCAGGCCTGCAGCTGCCTCCCCAGCCCGCTCTGTGTACTTACTTTTGGAGCCTGAATCAGGGTCTGCTTGTGCTGTCCCTTAGCTCCTCTTCTTCCTCCTCCCCCTCATTCTCCCTCCTCCTCCCCCTCCTCCTTTCTTCTTCTTCCTCCTCCTCCCTCCTCTTTCCCCTTCTTCCTCCTCGTCTTCTTCTTTCTTCCTCCTCCTTCTCTTCTTCTTCCTCCTTCTTCCTCCTCCTTCCTCTTCCTCCTCCTTCCGTCCTTCTCCTTTTTCTGGCTGGTGCTCTACCACTTGAGCCACAGCTCCACTTCTGGCTTTTTTCTTTTTGGCAATTGACTGGAGATTTCCTGCTCTGGGGCTGGCTTTGAACCGGGATCCTCACATCTCAGCCTCCTTCCTGGGTTGCTAAGTGTGTGTGTGCGCGCACGCGCGCGCGCGTGCATGCGCGTGCGCGTATGCGCGTGCGCGTGTGCCTGTCTTGGGACTCGCACTCAGGCTGTCTCTGGAGCTCTTTCGCCAAAGGCTGGCGCTCTGCCACTGGAGCCACACACAGCTCCACACGTCGGGCTTGTCGGTGGATGGGGTCATTGGAGGCTTTTCTGCTTGGGCTGGCTTCGAACTGCGATCCTCAGGTCTCAGCCTTCGGGAGTGGCCGGGATGAGCCGCGGGCGGTGAGCCTGGCTCCTCACTGCGCTTGGAGCCAGTCCGGGCCTCCCGGGCGGGCGGGGGACTCGATCCCACCGCGTCCCCACTCCCCTGCCCGTCCCGCAGCTCCGGCCCGCTCCCGCCGGCCCCGCAGCCCCGCCCCGCCCGGCCCGCAGCCCCCGCTCGGCCCCGCAGCCCCCCGCCCCGAGCTCACCCTGAGGCTCAGGAAGCCGTGCTGGCCCAGCGCGGGGTCCCGCAGGCAGGCGGGGACGGCGGTGCGGGCCCGCCCCAGGCAGCCGCGGCGGGGCCGGCAGAGCACGTGCGTGAGCGCCACGCAGCCGTAGAAGGCGGCGGCCAGCAGCGCGGCGACGCCCGCCAGGCCCCGCACCAGGGCGCGCAGCAGCCGCAGCGAGCAGCGCGAGGGCGCCAGCAGCGCGGTCACCACCAGCTCGGGCATGGCGCCCGCGGGGGCCGCGGGGGCCGCGGGGGGCGCGGGGGGCGCGGGCAGCAGCGGCGACGCGGGGCCTGGGCCCCCTCCGCGGCCGGCGGCCGGCTGCTGCTCCGCGCCGTCGGGGAACGCGGGCCGCTCCGAGGACGCAGGCGCGCGGCCGCCGCACATGACGCACCCAGCGAGGCGGCGGCGCGCTCGCACCTGGGCGCCGCGCGGGCCCGGAGGGGACGCTAAGGCCCGGGGGCGTGGCCTCTGGGGGCGTGTCCGAGGGGCGGGGCCTCGAGGGGGCGGGGCCTCGGGGCGGGGCCGGCACCCGAGCCCCGAAGGGAGGCGGCTGTCCCGCAGGTGTCTCCGAGGAAGACGTTACCCAGCGCCTGCTGCCATCCCAGCTACTCGGGTAGGCTGAGATCTGAGGATCGCGGTTCAAAGCCAACCCCCGGCAGGAACAGTCCGGGAGACTCTTAGGTCCCATGAATGACAATAAAGCTGGAAGTTGAGCTGTGGCCCAAAGTGGTAGAGCACCTGTCTTGGGGCAGCCTTCAGGTCCCGAATTCAAGCCCCAAGACCGACGAAAACAGAAGCACCAAACTGCGATACCCAAGCACCTGTTCGTTGGTCTATAAAACAAGGTCCACAGCCGGGCGCTTGAGGCTCACGCCTGTCATCCCAGCGACTCAGGAGGCTGAGATCTGAGGATCACGGTTCAAAGCCAGCCCGGGCAGGAGAGACCGTGAGACTCCTATCTCCAATGAACCACCAGAAAACCGGAAGTGGCGCTGTGGCTCAAGTGGCAGAGCGCTCGCCTAGAGCTGAAGAGCTGAGGGCCCACGACCCCAAAACATAAACAATGTGCACACTGAAAAGAAGCCCACAGATCAGGAAACGCCTCTTCCTAGTTAGCCGCATCGTTTTTAGATGACTGTGTCTTTACTCATAGACCGTGTACACCCGTGCCCACGAGGGAAGGTGGAGCAGAGACGGCATCCGTGGATAGCGGGTGGAAAGCAAAGGGGAACCCTCAGCTGCCCTGGACGTCGAAGAAAACGAGCCGAGGAACTCAAGGGCCAGTGATGGGCGGGCGGGAATGAGGGAGCGGGAACCGCTGGCACTAAGAACGGGAAAGAGATGTTCGCGACCCCGGTTCGTGAAAGGCAGTGTAGAGTAAGACGGTGCGGACTGTCATTGTGAAGACTCGGTTGTTTGTAACTTCAGCTAAGTATATGCCGCAGCGTTGTGTAGCCACGTAATCTCAATTAATATTTGGAAAACAAGAAGGCAGACAGTTCAGGCGGGGAGCGGACAGGGAAGTGGGCGGAGCCGGGGACGGGGGCGTGGCACTGCGGGGTGGGTGTGGTCCGCGAGCTGGTAAAGCGCCGCTCCGCCTTAGCGCGTGGCCCACCCAGGTAAACCGGAGAAAGGGCGGAGCCTCGTCTGGCAGAAGTGGGTGGGGCTTTGGGTGGGAGGCGGGGCATGTGCAGGGTGGGTGTGGCCTGCGTGCATGTATGTAATGTCCACTTAGCTTGGAAGCTTTGTAGGAGTTGTGGGCGTGGCTTACTCGGGTAGACAGAAGAGTGGGCGGAGCCCAGGGTGTGTGTGAGGAGGTCTTGCATTGGGGCGTGGGCCTGGAGGTCGACCAATGAGATGAGGGAGGCGGTGCCATGTCCTAATATGGCGTTCCCGGAAGCTAAGGGTGGAGTTTGGAGGAAGGCGCGCTCATTCGCAGCATTCCGGCTTGGTTTGGGAGTGCCAGCCCACCCTCGACCCTCCCCTCCCGGCTGGTTCCCTGAGACCCAGCAGCGAGCGCCTTTACCTCAAGTCCTGGTTTCAAGGGAAGGCTTACCCCGCCCTCAGCCCCGCTCAGTCCTCCCATTGGCTCGCTGGGCCCGTCAGCCCGCCCCTCCTGGGATGTGATTGGACAGCGGCGGATACTGATGTCCCAGCGACAGGTCCCGTCCGGAAGTGATGGGCAGGTGGCTGCCGCCTACGGGGCGGGAGGCCGGACTGGGGATCTGGAGCAGGACGGACGGGACTGAGTCACGGGGCTGCGGCCGGGAAGAGGCAGCAGGGCAGAGCCGGGCATGACGGGGCACCGAGTCAAGAGCCCGGTCCCTGCCAGGAGCGCTCCTCTTCCTGTTTCTCAATGCTGCCTGCAGACCATTTTGGAGACACCTGTCATTAGGGCGATCCCGTGAAAGCAGCCTGGCGTCGGGCCCACGACCCCGAGGTCATCCATGCCGAGCCGCGCGTGCGCGCCGGGCCCTGCGCGGTCGGGGCGCCGCGCGGCCCCCCCAGCTAGCTCTGCCCAAAGTGCTCGCTCTGGGCCTGGCTCCGGCTCTGCCCGTCCCTCCCTCCCTCCTGCCCTTCCCTCTCTTAGGGTTATTGGAGGTTAGAGTCTCCCGGACTTTCCTGCCCAGGCTGGCTTCGAACCGTGATCCTTAGAACTCAGCCTCCTGGATAGTTTAGGATTACAGGCGCGAGCCACCAGTGCCAGCCTTTCCTTTTCTACCTGTTGCTTGAATTTACGGCCTCCCTTTCTCACTCAACTCTCTGCTATGGCTGGCCCTCTACTGCTCTACTGAACCAGATTGTTGCCGGAATCAGAGATAAGTCTCTGGGATTTGCTGGCCTGGCTTTGAACCTCGATCCTCGAGACACCAGTTTGGGCTCAATGTGCAACTGTTTAACATTTACCAACTTGGGGCATTACCTATTGAACTGCTTACATCACTGCTTCGAGGCTGACTCCGGGTTGGGTCACTATTGGTTGTCTCTAACTTTACTCATCTGTTATCATCTCCCAGCTCTTACACAAGACTGACTCAACAGGCTAGTAAACATTATCCTGTTGCAGGGACCATAATTAATTAAGCCCATGGTTTATTAAAGCCATTCTGCCACGGGTAAACAATGTATTTGAGTCAGTTTACACTGTTATTTGTACTTGTTTTCTCTCCCTAGATTCATGCAGTGTGTGTGTCTGTGTGTGTGTGTGTGCATGCATGCGTGTGTGTGTGTGTGTGTGTGCAGGTCCTGGGGCTTGGCACTGTTCCTGAACTTTTTTCTGCTGGAGGCTAGTGTTCTACCACTTGAGCCACAGCTTCATTTCTCTCTCTCTTTTGTATTTAATTGGACATGAATGGAGATTAAAGCCAAGCTACTCTGGAGGCTGAGATCTGAGGATCACAATTCAAAGCCAGCCCGTGTAGGAAAGTCTATGAGGCTCTTATCTCCAATGAACCACCAGAAAACCAAAAGTGGCGCTGTGGCTCAAGTGGTAGAGCGCTTGCCTTGAGCTGAAGAGCTGAGGGACAGTGCCCAGGCCCAGAGTTCAAGCCTTATGACCGACCAAAAGAAAAAAAAAAGTAGAGATGATTAAGCACTTTTTAGGGGTGAAGGCATGGATAACTTATAATCTTTTCTATTGTGCCAGTACGAGGGCTTGAACTCAGGGCCTCACACTTTTCCTGGCATTCTAATTGAGCCACACAGTTCCACTTGGAGCTTTTGATGGTGATTATAGTCTCACCAGGCATTTCTGCCCAGCCTGGACTTGGACCACAAGCCTCAGATGTCAGCCTGCTGAGTACTACTGAGTACTAGTATTACAGGTGTGAGATGCTATCATCCCCTATCTGTTCCTGAGACTGTCTTGTTATGTACTCCATGCTCGCCTGAAACCTGCCCTCCTCCTGCCTCTGCCTCCCAAGTGCTGGCTGGCATTACAGGAGTGCATTGCACACAGGTTAGGTTTTGTTATACACCCTGTAACTCGGTTCATTCACAATCTGATGTTGCCAGGGTCTCCCAGTCCTCTGGTCTGTCTGCATGGATGGTGGGTGTGAGAATCACTCTTTCCGGCACATGTGTACCCTGTTCCCGACTCCCTCAACTCCACCTTCTCAAACACAGCAAGTCGCCACAGGAGAGGAACTTGTATAATTCAGTACAAATGTTTATTTTTGCAACGAGAACCGCACCAAAAAAAAAAAAAAAACCTTTAGTATATAAGTGAAAAGTCTGAATTTCCTTCTACAAATGTCTAAAGTGTTGAAATACAAGTCTCAGATTCACTGATAAAATTATTAGCCAAGCAGCCTGTGCATACAGTACAGCGAGTTTCTCTCATATAGGACTAAGGTTTCTAGTACTGTGGGAGCAACTTGAACATGGCCGGAGAAATGAAATCGATCCCAGTTCTAATTACAGCCCTGTCTGAGGAAACCCCAGCAAGGAAGGTGTGGAGAGGCCCTAGCAGAATGCTAAGCCTTGAGCAGGAAGGCTCAGACAAAACCACGTCTCAGTGAAGTCTTTCAACAGGAGCAAAACCAGGCAGGTGGGATGAGAAAGAAGCAAACAGGCAGATGTGCTAACTCAGTGGAGGGCGAGGTAGGCACGGTGGGCTGCCTGCCGGGTGCCTGAATTCTCCCCTGGCCGAGATACTCATGGCCCCGCCGCCTCCCGTAAAAGGGAGATGTGGGCTAATACACAGTTCCAGAAAGTTCAATGCATGTCTCTGCATGCTACATACTCGTGTCTGCCCCCGTGGGTTCCCTTATGGACAGGTGCGGGCAGGGGAGGATCCTGTGGGAGGGGAATGTGTACACACCTAAGTGTGCCTAGTTAGACGAACCCTGAGCTGAGGTGCAAGGTGGGATGGGGCAGCGGCGTGGCGGAGGACGTGGGAGGGGGTGGCGGGGGAGCGCGGGGCTGACCCACAGAAGAGCGGCTGCCACGTACTGTCCCCGCAGCTGTGTGCCGGAAGGGCTCCTGGGCAGAAAAAGGCAGGGGGGGCCATGGAGAGCAGTTTTGGGGTTCTATGGTGGCTGTGGAAAGTTTTCAGAAGGTGGGGGGTAGAGGGGGGCCACCCTGGGGCCCTGGGGCCTGGCCTAGGCAACAGTTGGTTCACAAAGAAATGTCAGGGAGACGCCAGCAATTAAAAAAGAGAGACGTGTTTATTCCATGATCAGTACAGACGCATGTTCACCGTATCCAAGTCAAACCAGTCAGTGACTCCCGAGTTTGGCCAACACCGAGCGAGGCACCAGCGTCGCGGTGTCGAGTGTGTTCTCGTGGCGCGCACTACCCCGCCCAGGGCTCTCATTACAAAATTCAAAACAAAAAAGAAAAAAAAAAAGGTCGGGAAAGAACAGCTGGCCGGTCAGACCCGGGGCGCCGGGCGGGGCGGGGGGGGGCTCTGCCTCCCGCGGTGGTCCCCCCAGGCCCGCCTCGTCCCAGACCCCTTTCCTTCCTTTCTTGGTAAAAAAAGATTGGACATTAAAAACGAAGCCAACAAATGGGGGAGAGGGAGGACGAGAGATCGCAGCTTTCTGATTTTATAATTAATTAAAAATAGACTAATAAAAGTTTGAAACTGAATAAAATATAGGCAGGAGGGTTTTTTTGTATATGTTTTGCTTTTTTTGTGTTTTTTTTTTTTCTTTTTTTTTTCTTTTTTTTCTTTTTTTACACCAGTTTGGTGGAGTCACCAACAAACTTCAAACAAAGATATGCCAGCTACGTTCACTACACAGTACAGCCAGGGTCACACACGGCCGCGGCGGGCCGGGCCGCTGCCCACGGACACCAGCACACCATTTCCGAGGGAAGCGGTGCCATCGTGTCTGGAGAGGAGATAATTAAAAATAAAATAGGTTTCAGCAACAACAAAAATATATATAGAAAAAAAAAACAAAAAAACCAGAAACCAAAAAAAAAAACAAAAACAAAAAAAAAACCCCAAAAAAACAAAAAACCCAGAAACACAGGTGGGAAGAACTGACTTTGGTTGGTGAGCGAGGCCCGCACGTGCGGCCACGGACACACACACACACCTCCACGGCACGATTCCCTTTTGCACAAGCGAACACTTACAGAGAGCGGCTCTCGATTAAAGGCTTGTGGGGGGAGGGGAGGGCGTCTGTTCAAGGCAAAGTCAGTGCCAGCAGGGGTGGCCGGTGGCCCGCCCGCCCAGCAGCCCGCTGGGGCCCGGCCGAGCCTCCTGGGGGACGGGCGGCCATGCTGCGTTGTGGACCGGGACTCCCGGCGGGCAGGGCGCCGCGGACGCCACGTTCTCACGGACAGGAAACCAGTCAGGGTGGCAGCGACGATGTCTGTGTATACTGTGTAGACATTTGGCGGAGAGAAGGGCCTCTCGCCCGGTGCCGGGTGGGGGCGCGCGGGGCGTGGGTCTGGCTGGCACGCGGGCGCCCGCGGCGCGGGCTCGTGTCCTCGCTGGCTGTAAGGCAGGCGGGCTCCGCGCTCCTGCGCTCCCGCCAGGCCCGCCCCGGGCACAGCATGCATGGGGCCAGGCCCCGCTTCCTCCGCGCCCCTAACACTATGGAGAGTCCACGTTTCCCAGGAAAGTCACAGTCAGTCACCGAGGTGCTCTCAGAAGAGGTTCTCTTCAAATATGGACAAGAGATCGCTCTGGAAATTCATGTCAATCGTAGCTTCCATCTGGGGGAGGGGGTGAGGAAGATGGCGGTGAGGGGAGAGCTGGGCCCCTTCCCCGGGGAGCCACAGGGGCCCCTGAAGGCCGGGTGGGCCTGCCCGCCTCCCACCTCGGGTGCGGGTGCCGGGACCCCTGGCTCACCGCCTCCCGCCGCCGCCGCTCCTGCTCCCGCTTCCTGGCCAGCTCCCGCTGCTGATCCAGCATGGACTGGGGCTGCGAGCTCTGGGCCTGGGGGGCGGCGGCCGCGGCCACAGCGGCCTGCTGCTGCTGCTGCTGCTGCTGCTGCTCCTGCCGCTGCTGCTGCTGCTGCTCCTGGCGCCGCCGCGCCTCCTCGTGCACGCGCCGCGCCTGCTCCAGCGCCTCCTCATCCTCTCGGTTCCTGGGCGCGGCAGGACCCCCAGTCACCCCGGTCCTTCCGGGGCGCCCCTCCCCAGCCCACGCCCTGCCCGGACCCGCACCTCATGCGCTCCTGCCGAAGCCGCTCCTTCTCCTTCTCGGCGTGCTCGGCCTGGGCCTTCAGCGCCTTCTCGCGCTCCTCCTTCTCGCGGGCCACGCGGCGGAACTGCTCGAAGCTCTCGCTGGAGGACTTGGCGGTGGAGGACGGGGCAGTCGGATGTTTCTGGACCAGGCTGGCCCAGGAGCCCATGTTCTTGATCTTCAGGTCCTGTGGAGCAGAGGCGGGCAGGGGCGGGGTGGGGTGAGGGGCCTGTCCCGTGGGAGGTGCATGGCAGGGGACCCTTGTGGCAAAGGCCGGTACCTTTTTGGGTGCCACTGGAGTCTTGGGCTCCTGCTTGGGTTTGTCCTTGTCAGGCGCCCCGGGCGGCGGTGCCGACTGCTCAGGGGGCCGGATAACGGGCCGCCCGACCTCCACAGGCTTCATCTCAGGCCCTGGAAGACAAAGAGTCCATGGGCCTGGGCACAGGGCACCCTGAGGGCCCTGGGCCTCGTGCTCCACCCCGCCCCCCCCACCCCGGATGGCACGGGCACTCACGCTGGGGCAGGTGGACTGGAGCCTTGATGTTCTCGGGGTGCTTGGGGGGCTCTGGCCGCAGCGAGGGGCTGAAGGGCTCGTTGCGGATGATGGGCGAGTGGGTCTTCTCCTCCTTCACCACCACCAGGGGCTGCGGCTGCACCACCGAGGGCGGGCGCAGCTCCTGTGACACAGGGCAGCCAGGCTGGTGAGGCCATGGGCTTCCGGCTGCCCCTCCCCCTCCCCGGCCCCGCCCCTCACCTGCTTCTTGGGCTGGACGCTCTGTTGGGGGGGAGACTGGTGGGTGAGGCTCTGGAACGGCGGCATCTGGGGGGAATGTATCATCAACGGGGAGGGGGCTTCGCGGAGGTGACCTAGGGCAGAGGCAAGGAGGGTGTCCGGTCACTGCGGGGCCTTCCGACCCCCCCCCCACCACGAGCGACGAAGGGCCAGGCTGGGCGAGAGCTGGCCGTGGCCCGGCGGCCCTCCTCCCCAGTGGAGGGGCAGGCCGGGCGCCACCGCCCTCGCGACCTTGCACTCCGCCAGCTTTCAAACACACACGCCTCGTCTCATGCTTTGGGGCGGAGGCGGGCGCCTACATCTCTAGACGGTTCCGAGGAGGGCCCGGCTCCCGGGGTGGCCGGGGTCGGGGTCCTCCCTTGGCCTGCGTGCCGTGGGCAGACGCCTGGGCTGTGCCCCTGCCCGTGGGGAGCAGGGAGCACAGGGCCTGGGGCCACGGCCCACAACCCACCAATGACCTGCGCCCAACCACGACCCGAGACCAACCCTGACGCAGGACGGAGGGCAGGCGGGCCCGGGGCTGGCAAGAGGCTGCTTACAGAACCGCACCCCGGCCCTGGGCTCTGGGGCTGCCGGGCGTCAGTGGGGCTTCGGCTGAAGCTGCCAGCGGGGTTTCAGTCCCCCATCCTTTTTTTATTTTTGGTCGGTCGTGGGGCCTGAACTCTGGGTCTGGGCGCTGTCCCTCAGCTCGTCAGCTCAAGGCCAGCGCTCTACCACTTGAGCCTCAGCGCCGCTTCTGGTTTTCTCAGTGGAGACCAGAGTCTCTTGGACTCTCCTGCCCGGCTGGCTTTGAACCGAGATCCTCAGACCTCAGCCTCCTGAGTGGCTGGAATGACAGGCGTGAGCCCCTGGCGCCCGGCTGCCCCATCCTTCGCACACTCTGCCTTCGGCTCCAGGCAGCCCTGGCCCTGGCTTCCCCGCTCCATCCTCCACGGGGATGCTCACATGCTCGGGGTGAGCGGGCACAGCTGCGCGGCCGGCCCGGCCCCAGTTCCCAGGGGGGAGGAGGCGCAGCTGCTCTTGGCGCAGGGCGTGTGGGAACCCACTCGGCACCTGGCAGTCGGCACTGGGCGCGGGAAGAGTCGCAGCCCCGCTTTGCTACTCAATTTGGGGGCCAGAACTTGGTACTCCCCCCCGGCCCAGGCCTGGGTGCTGTGACCGGGTACCCCTTGCCCCTCCCTCCGGCCCAGGCCTGGGTGCTGTGACCGGGTACCCCCCCACCCGCCAAGGCCTGGGTGCTGTGACCGGGTACCCCCCCCGCCAAGGCCTGGGTGCTGTGACCGGGTACCCCTTGCCCCTCCCTCCGGCCAAGGCCTGGGTGCTGTGACTGGGTACTCCCCCTGGCCAAGGCCTGGGTGCTATGACCAGATACCCCCGCCCCTGGCCTGGGTGCTGTGACCGGGTACCCCTTGCCCCTCCCTCCGGCCAAGGCCTGGGTGCTGTGACCGGATCCCTCAAGGATCCGCTCAATCACAGCTGGGTGTACTGCCTTCACATGCGTCCAAGGTGGAGGGGCTGGCCCCGCCCGTGCTGCACTGGGGGCTGCCACTCCCCTTTAACCCTGGCGCTCCCCAATAAGGTCTTCACACTGTTGGAGGGGGGGGATCTCAAGGTGCTAAAAGAAAAAACTGCCTGGTCACAAATATCAAGGGGGAGGTCCTCGTGCTCGTCCCCTGGCCACTAGCCCTGGGGGGGGGGTCACCAGGAACCCCCTCCCGGGTCAGGCTTCCCCTCCTGGCAGGATTTTGGTGCACTGTGAGGCTCCACAGCACCCGTTGTACAAGAGCTGGGGGTGGGGGGTGGGGGGTGGGGAGGCTTTGCCCTCGGCCATCTTGGTCAGCAAGGCAGACAAATGTCCAACAAGGCAGCGATCCCCGGGTGCAGCCCCCCCCCCCCCCCGCCCGGGCCCACGTCAGCGTGGAGCACAGGCCCGCCTTCCCCAGACTCCGCTTACCAGTCGAATAGGGGTCCGACTTGTGGTGCCGAGGGGAGGGGTGGTGCTGGATGACCTGCTGGGGCTTGGCGGGCTGAGGCGGGGGTGGCTGCTGGCCGGGGGGCGGGTGGGGGGGCTGCTGGCTGGGGGGTGGCGGGGGCTGGATGTGAGCAGAGAACTGCATGGGCGGCAAGTGCACGGGCCGGGGCGGGGGCGGGGGCTGCGGCTGGGGCGGGGGCTGCGGCTGGGGCGGGGGTGGGGGCGGCGGCGGCTGCTGGAGCTGCGGCTGCGGCACGGAGGGGTGGGGCGGGGGTGGCAGTGGGGGCGGGGGCTGGGACTGCACCTTCACGGAAGGGAGTAGCGGCGTGGGGGGCTGTACCTTCTGCAGCTGCTGCAGGTACAGCTGCATCTGCATGGAGGTGAGGGGCGGGGCAGGGGGCTCCTCGTCCTCCAGCAGCACTTGGGGCGGCTGAGCCATGGGGGGCTGGGGGAGCAGGGGGGGCTGGGCCAGGGCGGGGGACACGGCTGGGGGCCGGGTGGGCTTGGGCGGCAGGGCCGCAGCTCGGTTGCTGGGCCGCGATGGCTGCTGGGGCAGTGCATTGTGCAAAGCTGGAGGGGGCAGAAAAGAAGGGTGGTGAGGCCCGGGGCGGGGCCTGGCACGTGCCCCCCACCCCACCCCACCGCACCCCCTGGGCTGCCTCCCCGGCTCCAGTCACTCCCAGAGGTCACCTGTCCACCAGGCTGTCCCTGCGCATGCCGTCTGGCCAGAGGTTGACCTTTGTCCAGATGACTGCCCGGCACCCCGTAACTATAAACTTCAGAAGGGTCCCATCCTTGGAAACTAACCCAAGGCCTAGCTCCACTGAGATGAGAACTCACTCATCCTGGTGTGCTGGTGCTGGGGCTTGAACTCGGGGCCTGGGTGCGGCCTCTGAGCTCCACCATCAAGTGGAGTTGAAGCCATAGCTCCATTTTTCCACTTTCTGGGGATTCACTGGGGAGGAAACTCTCCTAGCTTTCCTGCCCTGGCTGGCTTTGACACTTCCATCCTCAGATCTCAGCCTCCTGAGTAGCTGGGATTACAGGCATGAGCCACGAGCTGACTCCATCTTCTGACTTAGATGCCAACGGTCCCGGGGTTGCCCCGAAGTACCCGTACATCATGGCCCGGCAGAATTGGGGCAGTGCCATGGCTCACCTGGAGGAGAGACTACGGCGTGCTGGTTGAGATGGGGCGGAGTGCCGTGCTCGGGCGGCTGGGGCAGGTGAGGGGGCAGCTCGGGCTGCTGCAGGTGGAGGATGGGCTGGGTGAAGTGGCCGATGGGGTCGAAGACGCTGCCCGGGAGCTGGGGCTCCAGGACGGGCACCTGGGCAGTGATGAAGGGTGGGGGCGAGGACTTCATGGCGGGAGGGGCCTGCTGCGGGATGGAGGGCGGTGGAGGCGGCGGTGGCGGCGGCGGCTGCGGCTGCGGTGGTGGCGGGGGCGGTGGAGGCTGCTGGGGGGCTGGGGGGGGCTGCTGGGGGGGCGGGGCCTGGGCCGGCGGCTGATGGTGGTGGTGATGATGCTGTGTACACAGGGAGAGACACACAGGCTGATGTGAGGCAAGGCAGGCCAGAGGCCAGGCCCCGGGGCGGGACGCCAGCCACCCCCTAGGGAGGGACCCATTCGCGGAGCGACGTACCTTCTTCTGGTCCCTCCCAGGGTGCCCCTTCTTTTTGGACTTCGGAGCCATCTCTGCAGAGAAAAGAGAAGGTGGTGAGGCTCTGGAGGAGCGGGGGGGTGAGCTGGCTTAGGACACGGAAGAGAAGAAAGCTGCAGAAGGCAGCGCAGGATGGGGGCAGGTGACACGGAGCGAGAAGGTCCAGGCCGGGTTCGGATCGGGTTGGTCACCCCTGGGCGGAGGGAAGCGATGGAGGGGGACCCCCCCTGCCCACCCGCTGCATCCTGAGGCGCTGCGATGGGGAATTACCCCCCCCCACCTTCACACCACCGGCGCCATTCCTATGCCGAAAGGCGAGCTAGGGAGCCCCACGCCTGCCCCCACTCACTGCAGAGTGAGGAGAGAGCACGCTAGTCCAGGGTTACACGCAGTGATGGGGACGGAGGCACGGCGGACCCACATGGGTGCGAAGGCCCTGGCGTCTTTCCAGACAAAGCAGAGCAGCTCGGGCGGAGTGCGTCGGGGCTGGCCGGGGCCGCCATGGACCCCGGGACACACAGCCAGCGAGTGGGAAGCGAGGGCAGGGCGTGCGTGCCGCCGGCGGGGTGCCCGCGGCCAGCGGAGGGCACAGGCCGCCTTGCCATGGGGAGACAGGCCCGAGGGGACAGCTTCTGAGGGACAGTGTCGAGGGCTGCAGGGGGGCCCTGAGCTTGCTGTCGGCAGCCATGCTGTGCCCACTCTGCAGAGCTGTGCCCACCTCTGCTGCCACCCCAAAAGCTTATGCTCAACTGTTTCTGCCAGCCGGGTGGCCCTTCACCAAACAAGATGGTGTGCAAGCCTAGGCGGGAAGCGGGGCGCTCGGAACAGGGTCTCCGGGATTGCGGGCCCTGAGGCACGGCCACGGCCGGCCCGGCTGTCCCTGAGCTTCCTGCCCAGGATGTCCAGCTCGCCACGGGGGTCAGCGGATGACAGCTTCCCCAACAAGGCTACTTTGTGTGAGATGTCCGGGCCCTGGAGGGGGCAGCAACATGCCACCTACGGGGATGCGACAGGACCCCGTGTCCGGCACGAGCTAGACAAGACCAGGACACACACGCACACGCTCAGCAGCCACAGACACATCCTCGGAACCAATGAAGTGGAGGACACCTAGGACACGTGAACTCAAGCCCAACACCCAGATGGAGGTGCCAGACCTCAGAACTCTTTGGGTGAGACACAAACATCTGTGGCACTGGCTGGAGACCCCAGAACTGCAGAGAGAGAAGGGGTGCCGGGAAGGCAAGGTCTCAGAAGCTCCAGGGGAGCGTGAGGAAGAGGTTGGCTCTTCTGGCCCATTCCAGTGCAGGGAAGTGGTGGGAGGGGGCTGGGCAGGGAGCGGGGCCGCTAGGGGCGTGGCCTGGCCACTGAGCCAAGCCTAAGGGAGGTGCCCCATGCTGGCTGAGCGCAGACAAAATGTATGGGGGGGGGGGGGCACGGCACTGTGGTCTTTCATCTATGTAAGGAGGGGTGGTGGTGGCTCCATCCCTCACCAGGGCGGGCGTGGGAGCAAGCAGTGGAGCTGTGGGAGTCTAGGGAGACGTCTGCGGCCTTGAGAAGGTCACAGGGAGCATCCTGGGGCCCAAGGAGACTAGAAGATAGGACGTGGGACAGCCCCCCCCCAGCCGCTGCAGCCCAGGCCCCTGCGGCAGTTACTAGTAAGAAGACAAGACAAGAAGCGCACAGCTTCACAACACTCCGGCCCGAGACACCCCACACAAGACTCTCTAGAAAGGGTTTACATGGAGATGGCCTTAAGTACTGTGTGATCTTTATTCCATGACAATCTTCAACTCAACACAAATTTCAACTTTATACAGGATGGTAATTGTACAAAGGAATAAAATGTTTCTGCAAAATCTGAGTTAAAACACTGATTTCTTCCACCCCACCCAGCCCCACTCCAGGGGAGGGAGAGAAGAGGGCTAAAAGGCAGGGCGATGGGGGCAGAGAGGAGGGGGGAGGAGAGGAGCAGCTGCCGCCGGCCAGCTCTCCTGCGGGACTCCCGGGCAGCCAGGACAGAGGCCTTGGGTGGCACCTCCTGGTGCCCAGAGAACAGGTTACAACAGCTGCCCGTTGTCTTTCTGGCTTATTCCCAGGGCACCAAATACAGGTCACTTTTTTTGTTTTGTGCTGGTACTGGGGCTTGAGCTCAGGGCCTCGGGCTCTCTACCACTTGAGTCACAGCTCCACTTCTGGCTTGTTTGATGGTTTAATTGGATGTAAGAAACTCCTGGACTTTTCCTGCCTAGGGCTGGCTTCAAACTGAGCCCCTCAGCCTCCTGAACAGCCAGGATTACAGGCCCAAGCCGGTGGTTGGCTACAAGTGAATTTAAAGCACTTTCAAGTTCTACAGGTCCCGAGCAAACTGTCAGCTGGAAGCCTTACGGGCGAGGAAGACTGGGTCCCTGGCCATCAAGGACAGGAGGCCCTGGCGGGAGGGCTGGCGGTGGCTGCAGCTGCTGCGGTGTGCACTCGTGTGGTCAGGGGCAAGGGGGAACAGGCAGCCTAGACACTGTGAGAAGCTAGGCTGCTGCTTGGTCCAAGACAGCAGAAATCTTCCCAGAAAGAGAATGCCAGCAGCTTCCCAACTGTCCTGTGGGAACCTCTGGGCATGAAGCCCCTCATCCCAGCCAAGCCAAGTTCACAGGAGCACGTCAGGCGCAGGCCAAAGGGCAGCTGAAAATAGAGTCTGTTTGGCAAACGTGGCTGACTGGAAACTGGAAGCCCAGAGAGGATCGGGAGCGGCCTGCAAGCTCACAAGTGCTACTGCGGGGTCCTGGGGAGGCTGGGCTCCATCTGGGGGCCACAGCAAGTCTGGGCCGAGAGGAACCCAGGAACTCAAGGAGCCAGGGAGGCAGGAGAGGCGGTGGCATGTCCCCAGCCTGGCTCAGCCCCAGGACAGGGCAGCCTGCAAGGCGTCCGTGCCCGCCGTGTGGCGGCTGGGCCCCAGCGGACACGGGAAGTACGCTTGAAGCAAGAAAGAACAAGAGCCCAGGCCGGAGCACAGACGCTGCTCCTAACGCGTCGCCCACTGGGAGGCTTTCTGTTCAGATGCTGGATTCATGACCAAAAAAGGGCCTACATTTATTTTTAGCGCAAAAAGCGGGGGAAAAGTAGCCTGTTGGGTGCCTCTGGGAGGGTCAGCTGGGGTGGCCGCCCTCGCCTGGGGAGGGCGGACATCTAGGAGGTCTGTGTACAGGGCATCAGAAGGGAGCAGGATGTGTGTGTGTGTGTGTGTGTGTGTGCATGTGTGTGCGTGCGTGTGTGTGTGCATGTGTGTGTCCCTCACAACAGCCCAGAAGATACTCTCCCTATGGAACTTGAGGGAAGCAGATAAAGAAGCCGGGAAAACGCCCATTACACCAGCTTAAGCATTCAGCCACGCGGGGACGGGGACGGGAGGGCTGGAGGAGGCCGAGCGGCGTGCCGGGCCCCAGCGGGTCAAGCAGCCAGGGGTGGCACTGCCCAGCCTTGCTTGTCTGGGAAAGCCTGGGAGGGCAGCACACTCTTCCGGAGGCGGAAGCAGATCTTCCCTGGGCTAAAGTCACAAGGTCCCGGAAGGGAGCAGTCTAGGTCCAGAGTCTCAGACAAAAGGGGGGGAGCGACCGAGAGAGGAGACGCACTCTGATCGGGTATCACACACAGCGCAGCACCACAGCGGCACGGGGAGATTGTCATCACCCATCAGGAGGTGCCACCCACCCAGAGGCCCCGGGAACGGGAGGCAGGCAGATCAGCCCCAGTCTCTGTACAGGCAGGCCAGGCAAGCAGCCTTCCCAAAGGCGGGAACTAGGCGTGTGCTGCCGGCGTGACCGCTCCACCCCGGGGACAGGCCCAGGCCTCTGAGGAGTTCCATAACTCGATGGAGTCCTGTCCCTTTCACAGAAGAAAATGGGACTTAAGCTAGAGCTTGCTGGGAGGGAATCTGGAACTGAAGACCGTTTTATTAAGAGTCCGTGTCCAGTGATTAGGCAGGACCTACGTAGAGGAAGAGAGAAATCAGTGTGAGAGAAGTGGTGTGGAATGTACCATTCAAGTCACAAGAACAGAAGAACTGCAGACCGAGCCAGCCTGTGCCCTGGTGGCCCAAAGGGCACAGGAGAGCAGCACCAGAGATGGGGAGCTCCGCCCCCGACCTCCTCGGGTGGGGACAGACCCACCTCCACAGATCCTCTGTGCACCCTGAGCCTGCCTGTGCTTCCAGACAAACGCGCCCTCACTTGACGAGTTCCACGTGTGTGTGCCTGCCTGCATGTGTGCGTGTGCCCACTACGGCCGCTCAGGGCCCCGCCCTGTCCCAGCCAGGAACACCAGGCTCACCACCACCAGGTATGTCTGCTCCCAGCCTTCCCTTGGGCTGTGGCCCAGGAAGAAAAGCCTGACACTGTGGGCACCATGCTGCGATCGGGGCAGGACTCGAGCTGAGGGAGCGTGGCCTCCGCACCCTTCCAGCTCCCCGAGGCACACAGGATAAAGAGGAATCTGTGACATGTAGCTGAGGGAGGAGGAAGGAAAAGAGAAGAAAGGAACGAGAGAGACAGAGCAAGCAGATCGAGGAGGAAATGGTCCCCCTCTCCCGCCTCATCTGGGACTCCAGCCTGGCTCCTGGACCAGGGCAGCCGCTGGGCCGGCTCCACCCACGCGGCAGTGGCGCCTCTGGAGTCACGGATGCCCCCCCACGCCTGGGAAAAACCCGCCCACCCCGCCTCTCGCTGCTGGCCACATTCCACAAGGCTGGCCTCACCCGGGGGAAGCCCCGGGCCCTCCAGCTGCAAGGCTGTGTATGCACGTGCATCCAGTCACCTGGCTGTGCCCCCCCACCCCGTGGGCCGAGTCCCTCAAAGACCCTTGGGGCAGGAAGCTGGGGCTGGACGTGTGGTCAGCAGAGAGCACCCCCTCGCACATCTGCGCCTCCCAGCTCAAGTCTTTCCAGAACACCAAGCATTCCCCTCTCACTAGGAGCTACTGAGCAACGCCCACACTGTCCAGACCTGGGAAAAGGAAACCAAGACTCTGAGCTGGCTGGACGACACTCCTGGGCAGATGGAAAAGAAGAGCAAAATCTGAGGGACCCTCCCCCAAACTGCCCCAGCCCATGTGGGGGGCGGCGGGAGAGGTGTGGCTGCGGGCAGGGACGCCTCCGCGCCGGCCCCGCCCCGCCCCTCGGGAAGAGGCAGCCAGCAACGTGTTGGCCGAGACCTACAGGGCGTCCTAGGACACCCTCTGCCCCGGCCCGCACGCGGTGCCGGACGACAGGGCCTGGCTCTGTCCACAGCCTGCCCGGGAGAGCGGCGGGAAGGTCTCGCCACAGACCTCTTCCAAGGTGTGGTACGGTGGCACCCGAGCTATACCGGACGGTACCCGCCTGGCCGGACACTAACCCCTTGAGTGGCTGAAAGCAGAGGCCCATGAGAGATCGCACAGCCCAAGCAGTAGCGGGGCTCGGTGTGCTGCAGGGTGAGGGCCGGCTGGGCCAGCGCCCCGAGCCTCCCCTGGGCACAGCTGCCCTACGCGTAAGCCTGGTCCGAGCTGCGCCAGGGCCCCAGCAGCTCGCGCTGCCGGAGGACGGCTTTCGCACCGCCCTCCCAACCCCAGGGACTGCTTTGCTTCGGTTTCTTTTGGAGATTCAGGTCCCGGACCCGTGTCAGCAGAAATGATCCTTAGTACAAGTGACAAAAGTAGACCTTTGAGATATTTCGGCTCCAACCCAAGTGGAATCACAAGAGCGAGGAGGCTACACAAGCCCCGAAGACCAGAAGGAAACAGCGCCTGTTGCTGCGCCGGCCGGCCGGCCAGCCCCGCAGCGCAGCGGCGACCAGGCACCCTAGGGTGCAGCGGCCACGCTCCGTGACGGGAGTGTGGGCTGTGGCTCTCCCAGTGGCCCTGCCCAGCTGGCCCATGGAGCCCTGCCACACACAGAAGGCGAAGGAAAAGCCACGGCTCCGGGGCAGCGCTGCTGGCCAGCACGGAGACAAAGAAAGAGCCAGGCCAAACCCACGTGGGAGGGCGTCTGGGGAGAGCCCGGGCCCAGGCGGCGGAGCCGGTGGCCAGGGCTGCACCGCCTGGGCCTGGGAGCCAAGGCTGTAAATCTCACCCTCCTCCTTCCCGCCAAGACAGCTGTTCCCAGGGCTCTCGGATTACTCTCTGCACCATCTTCCCACTTTCCTTGAAGGGAGGGGGAGGGCTTAAAAAAATAGCCCAGTGGCCGGAGGGGTGCAGGGCGCCCACATGGGAGCCCGGGGCAGAGACCTCGGCCTCGGCGGGCAAGCGGCTGCTCTGGGGACTAGCTCAGCCCCGGGGCTGTCACGCAGACCCCAGGGGAGAGGCGAACCTGCCGCTTGGCTGGCAGAAGGGAAGAGTCAGAGCTACGGGCAATGCAACGGGACTCCAGGGCACAGCCCCTCCGCCCCCTCCGCCCACACGGGGCCGGCTCCTCCCAGCCAGCCTGGAGGGCAGCACCCCCTGCCGACTGAGGAGACTGGAAAGGGTGGGAGGCTGCAGGGCGCGGGCTCTGCGTCCAGGCCTGCGGAGATGCCATCGGGCACTGGGAGCCTGGGGAGACCCCGGCCACCCCAAGCCCCACAGGTCTGTTCTCCTCGCCTGCTGCGTGCGCGCCTCAGAAGTGGGGTCTCCCAGAACTGTGATTTCCACTCCCCCGTCACGGGGGAGCCAGCACGTCGGAGGCAGGAGACCCACGGACGCACACGCCAGCCACCTGGTTGCCTAACCAGACACGCATTTCCCGCTGTGGCCCGAGCCCCGGTCTACCTGGTAGAAACACACTTTGCACCAGAGCTGGCTCGCAGGCGGTCTGGAGTGTGTGTGCCCAGCCCACCCCACACACAAGCCACACGCAGGTCCCTCAAGTGCCCTCCGTTCCCTCATGTGCTGAGCGGCGGTACTGTGCTCCTCCACCGCCCATCCAGCTCCCAGCACTGTTCCTCCTCTGGCTTCGCGGTTGCTGCCCAAAAGGTGGGTCTGGCCGGGGTGCCGGGGCCGGCCCACTGAGCTCGGCAGGGCAGCAAGCCAGGCCCCGGTGAGGCCGATCTGAGGTTGAAGGCAGCCTAAGCAGACAACCTGGCCGGCTCTCATCCCCAACGAACCACCCAAAACCAGAAGTGGGGACATAGTCTAAGTGTTAGAACCCCAGGCACAAGCAAATATGCTGAGTGAGCGTGGAGCCCTGAGTTTAAGCCTTGGTACTGGTGTGCAACGCGTGTGTGCATGCGGGAGGGGATTGCGTGCAGCACACACGGGCTGCAGGTAGGTGTGGAGTTAGGGGAGAGGCAGCAGCAGCTGGCACAGCAGGCAGGCCCTTGCTGGGGGCGGGGCGCAGCTGTGGCGTAGTCGGGTGAGAAGCATTAGCAGCAGGCCGGGGACGGACCCTGCCGCCAAGGCTGCCAGCTGCAGGCAGCTCCGCTCCTTTATTTTTTTGTTGGTCGTGGGTCTTGAACTCTGGGCCTGGGCGCTGTCCCTCAGCTCTTCAGCTCAAGGCGAGCGCTCTACCACTTGAGCTACAGCGCCACTTCCGGTTTTCTAGTGGTTTATTGGAGATAGGAGTCTCACGGTCTCTCCTGCCCGGGCTGGCTTTGAACCGTGATCCTCAGATCTCAAGCCTCCTGAGTAGCTAGGAGGACAGGCGTGAGCCACCGGTGCCCGGTTCCGCTCTGCTCTTGCCGGACACCTGCCAACCAACCACCTCCTCTGCGCTGTGGCCCTGCCCGTGACTACGGGACTGGCAAGCCTGTGGGCTGCAGTCTTCCCTGGACAGGAGGCTTGGGGAGAGGGACTCCAGTCCCATGTGGGCCTGGTGCAGGCCTCAGCGGGGATGGGGGAGGGCCGCCTAGAGACAGTGTTAAAGAGCGGCGACCGTCTCTGGGCTCTCCAGCAGCCTAGCCCAGGACGGAGGCAGGGCTGGTGCCGGTACCTGGCACGGACGGGGGAAGTTTTGGACCAGATCTTAAACAAGAGTCCCCTGACCTGTTTCCGAGTCTTCACTATCTGAGGAGCTGGACTCGCTGGTGCTCTCTGACTCGGAGGAGGAGAAGCCTTTCATCTTGGAGGAGCCGGCGATCACATCCACTTTCTCGGCTGCAAGCCAAACAACAGGAAAAGCGATGAGGAGGTGCTCTTACCGGATCCACGGCTCCCCACGGGCAGCCTACTGCCAACTGCCCCTAACATGGTCCAGCCTGGCATTTCCAGGGCACTGGCGCCCTCTGGAGGATTTCTCAAGGATGTGACAGGCCGTGTGGAGGAGTCCCTTCCCAGCGCGGACACTGCTGGTCTGGCCTAAGGCTCACTTACAGCACACCTGCCTGGGGACAAGTCAGGGCTTGCAAGGAGCCGGCACGACTCAAGCCCGGTGTGTTACAGGTCCCCACGCAGACCGCAAGTCCTGTGGTCCCAAGAGAAAGGTGAAGGCATCGAACATGAAAGGAATGCCTGCAAGACTGTTCCAGAAAGGACCAGGCCAGTCGTGCTAGAGGACAAACTTGACGTCTAGCTCCAGCTGTCCTCCCCCCCTCCTGGGGGGAGGGAGGACACCGCCTAGCCAGCCGCTGGGAACCCAAACTACTGCTGGTTAGAGCCAACGCTCAAAACCATTTCAGGCTGGGCAATGTGGCTCAAGACCAACCCGGGCAAAGAGAGTCAGCAGAGGTGGGAAGGTGGCTCAGTGGTAGAGCGCTTGCCTCGCATGAATGAGGCCCTGGGTTTGATTCCCCAGCACCACATAAGCAAAAAAAGCCGGAAGTGGCGCTGTGGCTCAAGTGGTAGAGCACTCGCCTTGAGCTGCAGAGCTGAGGGACAGCGCCCAGGCCAGAGCTCAGGCCAGAGTCCACAAGCTCTCACACCCGAGTCAGGCAGGCAGGTGTGGTGGCGCGCTGTGACTCAGCACAGTGGTCACGAGGTTCGTAGTCTGGGCAAACGCACGAGATCTGACCTGAAGAATAACTTAAACGCAGAGCAGGGATACACGCGTCCCTCAAGAGACAGTGTCGACCTAGCAAGCGTGGGGCCCTGAGTTCAAACCCCAGTAACCCTCCCACCCTCCGCAAACACCCACCCAAGTCTGGGGTGTGGTGAGGCGCGATGTGGTGTCCTCACTTTGGGAGTTGCTGTCTGGCAGGCTGCCCGTGGGGAGAGCCCTCTTGAGTGGACCACGGAGAGCCCTCTTGAGTGGAGGGCTCGAGCATACCTTGGGGTTTCCTTTTCTTCCGCAAGCAGGAGGTGACGTAGCGCTCCAGCTCGCGCAGTGTAGAGGGCTTCAGGGTCTCGAAGTCGATCTCGATCTCGTCGGGGTTGGAGTTCTTGAGCGAGGGCTCCCGGGACTGGATGATGTGCACCACGCGGCCCAGCTTCTCCCCCGGGAGCTTGTTGATGTCCAGGCTCAGCTGGCGCTTCTCCTCGTAGGACATGGGCTTGCACTTGTCCTCCTCCTCCGACTCGTAGGCGGGCGGGGGCTTGCTCTTCAGGGGAGCCGGCTCCTTCTTGCTGCGAAGGGATGGGCGGTACACACCATCAAAACCGGGTTCGCCCTCCACGCTCGGAGGGGCCGCATCCAAGTCCCATCGGGCCAGTCTTCACAGGCAACTGGACTCAAGGCCAGTCTTCCCCGGGGAGCCCCGGAGAACACGCCGGGGCCGTGGGAGCTGGGGCTGCGCTCAGGTGCTCCCTGCTGCAGGCCCATGCATGGCCCCAGCCTGTTCCCCGCCCCCCCCAGCCCACAAGGGCTGCTGGTGAGCGGCCCTCAGCGCCCAGCCTGCCTCCCTGCCTCGGCCCAGGGTGGGTCTGGAGGCACAGACCTCACGCTGCTGTGGCTGCTGTTGGTCTTCTTTGTCTTCTTAGGAGGGAGCTCCTTGGCTTTGCTCTTCTTATTCTCCTCCACTTCCTCTTTCTTTTTGTGCTTCTCCTTCTTTTTCTCCTTCTTGTCCTTCTCCTTTTTCTTTGGTTTGCTCTGCTGGGGCTGCGAAAGGGCTGCAAGCTGTTCGTGCACGGCTTTGAGCTGTGGAGAGGAGGGGCCTGAGATCGGGCTGACGGCGCCATGCTGTGGCGTGCCACGCCACGCCACACCACGCCACACCGCGCCGGACAGTGTGGGACCCCATGGGTCAGGGCAGGGGCACGGAGCAGCCCTTGGCCAGTGGTCTGTCACATCTACCAGATCCCCAAGGAGCCCAAGGCACTGCCCCCCGCAATGCCAGGACGGCAGTGTCCTCTACCCAGCCAGCTGCCCGGCTGGCAGCCGCGACCCCCGGGCGGTTCCCCAGAGGCTGGGTGAGAGCAGATGCGCCGGGCTGGTGCAGCCCAGGTAGCAACACACACTTGCGAAGGGAAGGGCCAGGCAGGGCCCTGGGGCCACGTGTGCAAGGACCCACCTGCTCCTGGAGCTCGGCCAGCCGCTGGGCTCGCTCCTCCTCTGAGTCGTCAGTGGAACTGTCGCTGTCGGAGGAGCTGTCGCTGCTGCTGTCGCTGGAGGAGGGCGGGGCTGCCACCTTGGTGGGGGGCGGCACCGCGGGGGAGGACACGGCCACCACGGGCTCTTCCGGCTCGTCCGGCATCTTGGCAAAGCGCATTTCAAACACATCCTAGGGAGGGAAAGCCATGCCGTGAGGGACAGTGTGGGAGGGCCGTGAGGGACAGTGTGGGAGGGCCGTGGAGCTGGGCCCTCTCTTCATGGACGGGGCCACAGGGGCAAGGCCTGGGACGGTCTTCTAACACGCCTTTCCTAGGTCTCTTTTGTTGTTTTTGGCTGTGAGGCTTGAACTCAGGGCCTTTCTCTCCGAGCTTTTTTGTTCAAGGCTAGCACTCTACTGTTTGAGCCATAGCTCTACTTCCTGCTTATTAGTGGTTCATTGGAGTTAAAGAGTCTCATGGACTTTCCTGCCTAGGCTGGCTTCAAATCACCATCTTCAGACCAGTAATAGGATTATAGGAGTGAGCCACCAGCACCCACCAGTGCATTAACCCGAGGGCACCAGGGCAAGACCCCAGAAACACTGCTCAGGCCTGTGGCTGGCACAACAGGAGGCTCTGTGGCCTTTAGTTTCCACTCGGGCAGAAAGCGCGAGGACTGCTGTCTGAGCCCTCCCCGGAAGAGGAAGGAGAATGGGCAAAGGCCAAGCAGCGTGCCTGACAAAGCCCACAGACCAGGAGCGCTGCAGCAGGAGCAGGGCGGGCCCTGGCTGTGGCCCCGGCGCGGGGTGCGGAGTGCAGGGCACAGGGCAGCAGTGGCCGGGGCACTGAGCACTCAGGAGGAGTTCCCTGAGGACGTGCAACCCGGCCAGGCGGGGTTTGCAGGCACAGGGCCGGGACCTGGCGTGTCCTGAGGCCTTCTGCCTGGAAGACCCAGGGATCCGGGGGAACAACGTGGGGTACCCATGCAAGACATAGGCAGCCAGCCAGGCGGCAGAGGCCCGCAGTGGTGGGCCGGGGCGGGTGCGGCGGAGGGCAAGGCGGCCTCTGAGCTGCACGTGGCTGCTTTCAGCATGGAATACAACTGTCAGTGCAGCTGTCCACCCCTCTGCAGTGACTGCTCCAGTCTTCACTATGATTCGGAGAGCGGAGCAGGGGGCTGGAGCCTGCTCCAGGTCCCCTCCCTGGAGCCAAGGAGACCTGGCGGCGGGGAGAGGGGTCTCCACAGCAGGCTCTGCACGGACGGAGGCGCCGCTCCCCCCAGCCAGAATGCACCTGGCCTGCCGGCAGAACCTTCCTAACAGATGCGGCAGATGTCAGGAAGGAGAGTACCTGGACGCGGCCAGGGAAACAAGACCAGGCAGAAGAAAGGGCTTCACAGCAGCAAGGCCGCAGCGAGGCAGCGCCTGAAGCCATGCGCCAGGCCTGCGGGGTGGGACGGTGGTGTGCGGGGGGGAGGAAGGGGTAACGTGCCCCCTCCCAGGATGAGGTGCTCGGGGACGCTGTCTGCGTTCACCCTCGGACCCTCCCCCTGCCACGGACGTATCTGTGCTCTTCTTCCAGACTGGCTGCCAGGCACACAAGGCGCGAGGCCCTTCCCTTCCCATCCCCTGCGTGTTGGGGGCCTGGCGGTCAAGGCCAAGATCAACAGCGAGGGGCACAGGCAGGAGGCCCGCGGGGGTCGGGAGGAGCGTCCGCGCCAGGCAGCCCGCGCTTCCGCTGTGCAGCCACGCTCCTCTGTGGGATGGAGCTCTGCGGGAGCCGGACAGCCACATCGACCCCATCCTGCCCTGTGCTAAAGGAAGGAAGGGCTCCTTCTTGCGTGCGAGACACAGAGCCTGCTGGGAAGAGCCCACGGGCTGGGCCCCGTGCTGAGAGGCCCAAGCCACGGGCAGCCTGAGAGGGAAGGGTGACCACACCTCGGAAGGCAGGCCTGCCAAGGGAGCGGCGGGACGGGGCAGTGTGGCCTGCAGGGCTGCCGGAAGGCCAGCAAGAGGCCAGAACAGAGCCCCGTGGCCCAGCAGAGGGAGTGGGGGCCTGAGCCCCGCTCACGGTGGGTTCAACTCTGGCCAGCCCCTCGCCACGCCCACCCCACCCCACCCCTGCGCGGTCCAGTCACAGCTGCTGGTAGACCTCAGCGGAGCGCCCGGGGCAGAGAGCAGAAGTTTCTCCTTGCCAGTGCGTGGACCAGCCTCAGCCCCCGTGGCGGCCATCGGGTCCAGAGGAAGCAGGCCTTCCCGCTTAGTAACCACGACGATGACGATGACGAGACAGACGCACTCAGGTGCCAGCCTCCCGCCCTGACGCCCCTTTGGAGCACACAGAGGCCCTGGGGAGCCACATGCTGGGCAGAGCGTGAGTGGAACCCAGCAGGGCGCCTTTGCGCAGACCAAGCTCAGAACGCGCTGCCCCTGGTGCGCACCGGACCCCAAGGCAGTCCGCAGCCTGCCTCTCCTCCCCGCCGCAAAACAACTGCACGACACTGTTCACTGCACACTCGCTCCTCCCTCAGGTAAAACTTGGGCGGCTGCAAGGACTGCCGTCACTAGCACACTTCGCAGCTGCTCTTCAGAGCGGAGCTGAGCGCAGAGGCTGCTCCATGCCATGCTGTGCTGCCAGCCTTCAGCCCACGCCACTCAGGAAGACAAGACTAGGCACAGTAGACAGCCTTTTCTCTCCTTTCAATGCACTAGTTCAAAATAGCATTCTTCCATGCTGATGGAGTGTTGGTTTGGACAAAGAGACATGGATGCCCAATGTGGGCAAAGCTACCCCTACCCCATCTTCCCAGGAGAATAGGGGGGGAGGGGGGGAAGGGAGTCAGGTGTGTAGACAATGTGAGGCACTACTGCCACCTGGTGGCCCAGTTCGAGAATTGCAGTAAAACTACAAAGTGCTAACTTTCCATGATGGGACAGGCACCAAACACGAATGGTGAAGGGGCTGTCTATGAAAACAACACAGTTCGCAGCCTACAACACCACGTCCCACTGAGGGAGGCAAGCGGAGCTCCCAGCACTCAGAGCCTTGAAGAATCCAAGTCTGACTTCCCCCTCCTTTTCTCTCTCTCTCTCGCGTGTGCACAGGAGGTGCACGGGCGTTTAAAAGACAGCCTCCCCCATTTGGTCATGCCCCCATAACAAGGGCCAGTGAGTAAAAATGCGCCTCTATTCTCACAGGGCAGTGTTTTTCCCTCCACAGGAGTTGGGTCTCTGAATCAGGGGCACGCGGTGCGTGACAGTGGGAGGAGGAAGGGGCTCTGCCGAGCCTGGACCTGGAACATGTACATGCCAGGGGCCAGAGAGCTGGGGTGCGGACCAGGTGTGTGACTCGGATGCCACTGTGCTGTAGAGACACATGTCAAAGGCTTCCCAAGGCCTCACCTCCGCCCAGAAAGCACAGGCCGCCGTGAGGTAGGTGTGTGCGTGCGTGCACATGTGTGTGCACGGGCGCATCGGCTCACACAGTCAGCTCTTAGGACAAGTCAACCTGCCCACAGCCTTGGGGTGAAACGGCTGGGAATTCTTAGAACCTCACATGGCTCCTTCCCGAGAATTTTAAAAAGCACGAAACATTAACTTTTTTTTTTTGTCAGTTGTGGGACTTGAACTCTGGGCCTGGGCGCTGTCCCTGAGCTCTTCAAGCTCGAGGCGAGCACTCTACCACTTGAGTCACAGTGCCACTTCCCATTTTCTAGTGGTTTTTATTGGAGATAAGAGTCTCACGGACTTTCCTGCCCGGGCTGGCTTTGACCCACAAACCTCAGATCTCGGCCTCCTGAGTAGCTAGGATGACAGGCGTGAGCCCGGCACAAAACATTAACTTTTATTCTCCCAAGATGTTCAACTCTGACCTTACTACCCAGAGAGAAGGAAGCCCTGCTGAGGAATGTTCTTCCAGCGGCACTGCAGGGTCTCAGCTTGGAGGAAGCGCCTGTGGTCAAACCGACCGTGGAGATGGCCACCCTGCAGCCATAAGGCGAGGTTTCCAAGGCTCTGCCCGCAGGCGAGCAGTTACTGTAGCTCACGCATGTGTGCCTGGTACGGGTGTCCCCCCCCCCCCCCCACCCTGTTGGTTTGAGACAGCTGTGTTTTGAAGAAGAGATCGGGACACGCACAGAGCACACACTCTCCAGACAAGGGCAACAGGACACGGGTGGATGAATGGGTGTTGGGAGGCAGTGTCCAGTGGGAAAACCCAGAATAAAACCAGCCACTTGATCTTAGTAAGTAACCCTGACTTAATGCATGCGCCTGCCTGGGTGAAATTCACTCCTGCGGCATCATGGGAAGGAAAGCGAGGCGCAGTCAGCCAACGCCACAGGGTCTGGCCCGCCTCCCCTCCAGAGCCTCACCTGGAGCTTGCGTGCCATGGCCACCACCTCGTGGTCAGGCGGGTTGTACTTGTAGCAGTTGGAGAACATCAGTCGGACGTCGGCACCAAATTCCTGAGCATCTCGGTACTCACGGGACTCTAGTTTAGACTGGAAAAACAAGACAGGCTCCAGTTTGCCACGTCTGCTCGGGCTCTCCTTGGGGGAGAGGGGCGTGGCGTGGTCTCGTGCCCAGCAGCAGCACCGTGCCCCACTTCTCACACCGCATCTTAGCACGGAGGTCGCCATCACTGGCCAAAGAGCAAGAGAACACGGAAGCCCAGGAGGCAGAGGAGGGCTAGGCCCAGTGCTGCCCCCCGCTGCCAGTCCTATTCCAGCCCACAGAGAAAAATGACGGGAAGAAGTCCTAACAAACCCAAAGGGGCTCAGAACACTCGGGCCGAATGTCCTCACGCGTGTCATCACCTACAGGGCGAGGTGTCTCCCGCGGGAGGCCCCACCACACAGCTCTCTGGGAGCCCAAGAGGCGTCTGCGTCTGGGAGGCACACCCACACCCAGGACAGACGCGGGGTCAGGCATGGCCCCACCGCGTCCAGCAGGGGGCGCGGGCGTCTTTGGGAGCAGGTGTGGGCGCCGCTCACCTTGATGGTGCTCATGTCCATGGGGTGCTTGATGATGTCGCAGTAGTCGTGCAGGCCCAGGGCCTCCACGTCCACCGGCTTGTAGAAGGGCCAGGCGTAGGCCGCGTGCTTCTTGGCGAACATCTCCTTAAGAATGCCGCTGCAGCACTTGAGCTGCTCGGAGACCTTGCTGCTCTTCTCCGGGGCGAGGTGCTGCTGCGAGTCAGGCACGTCCTTCTTTGGGGGCTTCACAGGCCGGCTGCTCTCCCGCCGGGGCCCCAGCTTGGCCGTCTTGGGCTCTGGGGCCAGTGAGGGCGGCTCGTGGATGGGGTCGATGGTGGTGGGAGTGGTGGTGTCTGCTTTCCTCTTCACCCCCTTCTTTGTCTGCCGGAAGCATACAACGGGCTAAGGCACGGCCGCTCAGGGTCCCCAAGCCCCGCCTAGGGTCCCCACGCTCGGGGGAAGGAGCCAGGACAGGCAGACACTGGGGCTGGGAGAAGCCACGACTCTGAGTCTGGGACTTGCTCAACACCAGACACCTGCCCTAGCCAGATATCCCCTGGGAAGGACGACTCGGGCTAGATGGCAGCTACAAGAGGTCCTGGAGACGAGGAAGGGGCAGCAACTCCCGGGCGTGCATCACGGGCCTGCAGGTGCCTAACCCTCAGCAACACGGGGGACAGTGCTAGTGAGCCGGGACGGGCTCCACGCAGACCACCCAGAAGGCCAGCCCATCTGCGGCCTGCAGCGCCGGGACCCTTACCTTCACGGGCTGGGGGGCGGCGATGATGGGTGGGTGGCTCTGCACGGGCTGCGGAGCTGCCGTCGGTGGGGGCGGTGGCTGGGGGGGCACCGGTGGGGGCATCTGCAGCGGCTGGGGGGGCACCACGGTCATGACGGGAGTCTGGACGATGAGGTCTGGGGTGACGGCGGGGAAGGGGTGAGGCGCAGTCTGCACGGGAGGGGGGCTCTGCTGAGGGGTCTGGGTCTGCGGCGGAGTTGATGCTTGCGTTGTGTTCGGGACCGTGGACACACCTGGCTTTGACGTCCCTAGCAATCACAAGAGGACCAGGAGCTCAGAGGCTGTGCTGACACGTGTAGCACGCCTGGCCAGGCCACCAGCGCCCCATACTGCACTTCCGGCCCCACACCGTGCATTTCCCGGCCCCACTCTGCGCACTTCCTGGCCACATCTCCCCTCGCGAGAAGGGACGCCCAGGACAAAAGAACAGGATGCCAGGCCAGGCGCAGCAACACCAGCCCGTGTCGGAGCGGCCGCGCTCCTCGAGTGCAGCCTTCCGAGTGTGCCCTCCTGTCCGGGGCCAGCAATCCCCCACCCAGCCAAGCGCCCCGTGGGAGGACGCCCTGCCTCCTGGTGATGGGCAAGGGCAGGCAGCTGCTGCCCCAACGGCTCCCACGGCCGGGGCTCTGAATGAGCAGGTGGCCAGCGCGCACGTGCGCCATGCATGCCGGTGTGGAAAGGAAACACGCCCCAGTTCCCTGGAAAAGCTGTCTTCACCCACAGGCTCCCCTCGAGGGATGAGGAGAGGTTCTGCCGAGTCCCCCCGTTCTTCCCCGGGGCACCCTACTTGGGCTTCTCCAGGGATTTGACGCCTTGAGGAGAGGTCGCAGGTGCAGACCACAGCCCTGGCCCCAGGCGAGGCCCAGGCCCCTCAGGCAGACACAGGGTCATCACCCCACGGGCACGATCCCGAAGAGGGGGCTGGCAAGGCTGGTTTTCCTCGGTGACTCTGGGCACTGGACTCCCCGATACCACTGCCCCCTCGGGGCAGGAGGGGCAGCTAAAGACATGGGGAGAGGCAGCGCGGGAGGCGCTGGGTGGAGCCCGCCCTGTCCTGGACGGCAGCGCCGTGCAGCGGGCCTTCGCTTGGGGGGAGGGGCGGCGGTAGCGGGCCATAACACAGTGACAGAGGCGCGACTGAGCACGCTGGGCACCGGGGCCGCCAACAGGGCTACAGGACCGGGACACTGGTTCAAAGCACTTCTGGTTGGATTAAATTCTTCTTTAATAAACACATTTTTATTGTTATTATGAAGATGATATACAGAGGGGTTCTATACAGTTTTATAAATTAGGTGAAGAGTACACCTCCTTTTGGACCATGCTGGATTAAAGTCTTTACTCTGGAATGGAAAGCAGCCCTTGGGGTAGAGCTCAGGGCAGAGGCCTTGTCTAGTGTATAACAAGCTAGGCTCAATCTCTAGCATCAGACACAGACACACAGACACACAGACAGAGGAAAAGTACAAACCTTCTACTGCACTGACAAGGTATACACTTGTTGACCTAAGTCCACAAGCCACGCGGGGGCCAGTGACTCTAGCTGAATGCCGGGGACGGGGGGCCTGTGAGGGGCCGGTCCCCACTCATGTGGAAGCATGGGAGGGCCTGCGAGGGGCCGGCCCTCACTCATGCGGACGCGCAAGGGGGATGGGGGGACGGGAATGGGGGGGCCTGTGAGGGGCCGGCCCTCACTCATGCGGACGCGCAAGGGGGATGGGGGGACGGGAATGGGGGGGCCTGTGAGGGGCCGGCCCTCACTCATGCGGACGCGCAGCAGCCCATCGTTAACGTCACCTCTGACCTCCCCGCCACCTCCAGTCCTGCGGCCACGCGGTACTCTACCTGCTTCTTTCCTCCCGCGTCCTCTTCCTTTTGCCTGGACTATCATGATCTCCGTTTCTTCTGTGGGCAGCTCGTTGATTTTTTGCAAGAAGAGCTTCTCCAGAGCTTCTGCCATCAAGACGATGTCATCTCCAGGCTGTGTGGGGAGACAGGCGGGGTAGAGCGAGCGGGGAGCGCGCCCACTGCCTCCTGTGGACAGGGCACCCAGCCCCCCCCCCCCCCCCCCCGTGCTTGGAGCATCACACGCAGGGTCCTTCCTGGGCTAGACCCTAAGGGACCACAACCGCCACACGCAGGGTCCTACAGGAGCTATCTGCTGTGCTTCCCTCGCTCACTGTTCTACCTCTCTGCGCTGAAATCCATCCTGAACGTCCTGGAGCCTAAGCGTCCGCTGAGCTCAGCCAACCCTGACCGGGCCCTTCGGCTTTAGGGCCTCTTGCACACCAGTACTCAAATGGCACTGGGTTCTGTGCAGCAATGCCTTGCAGGGGTCCGACCGTGCTCTCCCGCGTACCCCAAGGCAGCTCTGAGGGGCGTGCTCGGTACAGGTCCCTGCTGCCTGGGTGGTGAGCACTAGGACTTTACAAAACACAGGAAACTTCGAGAAACTCACCTACCCATCTCTTCTGGGCCATTTTACCCACTACACCAGCAGAGGCCAAAAGCCGAGTTCTGTTAGTCTCCCTCCAGAGCCGTTCTATTTGAAAGGGCTGGTTTTAATCACATCTGTGGTCTCAACTGTGAACAAATGATCTGGCTTCATGGCACAGCCGAGCCCAAAGGTGTGGCTACGGGGCGGGGAAGTGACCTTAGGTCTGCATGGAGGATGGGGGAGGGAGGGGGGACACCCCCGATTCTATGACCAGTCCGGGAGGCTGTGCCCATGCGGGCTGGGCCCTGTGCCCTCGCTTTCACTCCAGGCTCTGTCCGGCATGGCTCCGCAGGACAGGACACCCTCTGAAGGCCTCTTCCCTGACAGTCACGCCGCTCACTGGGCCGTCAGGCGGCCAACGGCCGACTTCTCGCCTCTCTTCTAGACATGCTCAGGAACTAAAGCTCGAGGACCCAGCAGCAAGCGCTCAAGCTAACCAGGACAGCTCACGGCAGCCCCGGCCCTCCTCCCCGCCGCTCCGCTCCGGCAGCCCCGTTCTCCTTCCCTTCCCCAGGCTAGCAGGATCCCGCCGGCATCTCACCTTGTTGTAGATGTAACAATTTGTAAACATAGTGTTGAAGTCCTGGATACATTCCTGAGCATTCCAGTAGTAGTTGTTTTCTAAGCGCTTCTTTATTGTTCCCATATCCATAGGCGTTTTAATGATTTTATAGTAATCCTAGGAAGGAGGCAGAGTAAAGAAGGCCAGAGTTACCCAGTAGCCGGGCTGGGCCAGGCCGCCTGGCCCGCAGATCTGGGTCTCACTCCACGGGTAAACTGAGGCTCTTCTGTGGCGTGAGTGACTCAGGGAAACCCAGAATAAAGTAGATTGGATCAGAAAAGAATTTCAAAATACTGCTTGCAAGACAGAGGGGAGAGACGAAAGCTGCCAGCTGCCCCACCTGGACCAGACTGTCTTCATGAAAATCGATTACTTTGCTTTTCTGGTGTTAACTTTCCATTTTTAATAAACAATGGGAAAAGCCGGGTGCTGGTGGCTCACGCCTGTCATCTTAGCTACTCAGGAGCTGAGATCTGAGAATCGCGGCTCAAAGCCAGCCCGGGCAGGAAAGACTGTGAGACTCTTAATCTCCAATAAATCACCAGAAAACCAGAAGTGGCGCTGTGGCTCAAGGGCTCGCCTTGAGCTGAAGAGCTCAAGGATGGCGCCCAGGCCCAGAGTTCAAACCCCACGACTGACAAAAAAAATAAATAAAAATAAATAAACAATAGGAAAAACCACACAGGCTTAAAAAAAGAATAAAGGGGGCTCTGAGCCAGGCACAGGTGGCGTGATCCTAGCTAGTCAGGAGGCTAAGATCCGAGGATTGTGGTTCAAAGTCAGACTGGACAGGATAGATATATCTCCAATTAATCACCAAAAAGCTGGAGGTAGAGCCGTGGCTCAGGTGGTAGAGCTGGGCCAGCCTGGAGGGGAAAAGCTGAGGGACAGCACAAGGCCCTGAGTTCAAGCCGGAGGACAGGAGGGGGGGGGGGCTTTTACTCATTAAACAGAGCCAGCAGATCCTCTCGTGCAACTTCACTGTTCATAAATGCAAACTGCTGCAGCACCAGTGCCCGAGCCCCTGCCCCTCTCTCCGCACCCCTGCGTCTTGTCCCTTGGCCGCCATGAGGGCCACACCTCGCTCCCCTCCCCTTGCCAGTCCCCGCCACACCCCACCGCTAAGGATCAACCAGACCAACAAATGAGGCAACCTGGACAATCTTCACAGTCCTCAATAAAAACACCTCCACGCGCCCAATCCCAAGCCTTCCAATCTTGTCCCCCCCAAAGTGCCAAACTCATTCCAGCCGGTAACGTGGATGCCTTGGAGAGCTCAAAACCAAACTGCTGTTCTCACTCGCTTTTACTTAAAGCTCTGAAACCAAAGGCTTATTTCCCGAAACAAGGAGCCTGGAGGCAGAGCGGCCGCTGCTTGGGCTTCCAGGCAGAGGCTACAGAGGGCACTGGGCCGGGGCCCTTCTGCTGTGAGGCATGGGACCGTCCCATCCACGCTCAGCAGCAGGGCGGGGCAGAGCGGCTACTGGAGGGAGGGCAGAGCAGGCCATCAGGCGGCAGGGGCAGCAGGGGCAGCAGGTAAGGAAGGCCACGCTAGCACGAGCCAGCATCCTCCATGGTATGGGCTGCAAGGTACAGCCAGGCAGGAGGCCAAGAGCCGGCCTCAACACCAAGCTGTACACTCTACTGTGCTCAACCTTCTCAAGAAAGCCTAACCCCAACACCCAGCCCTGTGGAAATCTAAATTGTGTCGTATGGCCTCACGACTCGGAGAACAGTGCTCAGTGTGTGCACCTGTGCACCGGCTACAGGGTCAAGGGGACCCAGGACAGGTGAGGGTCTGAAAGGCACCACGAAGCAGGAGAGGGGTGTGGGGTGTGGGGCTCTCTCTGCAGCTCCCAGGAACACAGCGTGACTGGTGAGCCACGGGGCCCAGCCCGCCGGGGGCAGCCCACAGCGAGCGCGGCGGGGCCATGGTGACCTTCCCCGCTCCCCTCTGAACACACGGGGTCAGTGCCGCCAGCGTCCAGCTCCCTCTCAGGTCACAGCCGTCAGAGGGCACCTAATGGTGGAGCTGGTGCGCACAGCAATCCTGGCCACCCTCCGGAGCCCGGCTGCGCTGGGCACGTGGGCTGAGTCCCACCGGCCGGGTGCCCTCACCCTCGCGTGGGCATGCCGCACTCCAAGCCGCCCGTCTGCCCGGCTCGCCCGCCTGCGCCCCCAGGCCTCCGCGCTCACTACCCTGGTCTCCACACACACACTTGCTCTTCAATTCCATGTTCCTCCACCTGTGCGTCCGGTCCCCGAGGCCAGCGGGGTGGGAGCTGACGTGACGCAGCTGTGTGCCGCACGCCCGTGTCCTTGCTGTGCGCCTGGCGTCCACTCCTCTGCGCTACACGGGCCCCTCAGCCTGCTGCCCGCTTCCCATCTTCCCCTGCACCCTTCTCCGGAGCCAGCTCACCACCCAGCCACCTGGAGGCCCCCGGCCGCTCTCCCCTCTCACGAGCATACTCGCGGCACCTGTTTGGTAGCACACACGCATACACGCGACGGTCATGCCAGGAGGCGAGACCGGGTCCCCCTCCTCCAGGAATGTGGGCTTGTGGACGGGCCACTCCTCCACGCAAGCGGCTCTGGACGCAACACTGCCGCTCACTCCACTCGCTGGGGGAGGGACTAGGCACGGGGGGTGGGGGGGGGGGTGGAGGAGGGGGGGTGGTGAGAGACTTAAGCAGAAGAATGAAAGCATGCCCATGGCTCCCGGAGGTTCAACACCAGGGAGCCCAGCTGGCAGAGCTGTCTGCTAGGGACGCAGGGAACGAAGTAGGAGGAAAAAAAAAAGCCCTGAACCAAAAAAGCAAAAAGAAGCCAGTGGGCGGTGGCCACGCAGCGGGTGGGGACGGCAGGCATGCTGCCCCGCTGCCCTCGCCCCAGACCCCAACAGCTACAGAAGCAGGCAGCTCGTTCTTCCTCTTCCAGAGGGGCCGGGCTGGCGTCTCAGGACTGCCGATAAACGCTGTGTGGTGCTAGCGTTCTGAGCTCTCACTATGACCCAAACCCATGTGCACTGTCCCTCAGAATCTGCCCCCCCAGGAAACGCACGGGGGAGGGGGGGGGGGGAGGAGCGAGGTCCGAGCTACTCACAGGGAGGTTCAGCTTGACGGCGTCCACAGGCTGCTGGAAAGGCCACGCAAACTGGTGTTTCCATAGCGTCTTGAGCACCACGCGGAGCAGGTATTGCAGTTGGTTGGTCAGCCTCTTGGGCTTATTGGGGTTGGAGGTCTCCGGGGGCGGGGGGTTGGTGCTGGCTGCATTGGCTGGCTGGGGTTGGGCCTGAGCCTGCGTTGTAGACATCTGGGAGGTTTCTAGTCCATCCCCCATCACTGGCAGATTTCTCAATCTTGTCCCAGGGCCGCTCTCCGCAGACATGCTAGTGATCCCATCACATTCTTCACCAGGCTGTCTGCAAGGAGGAGAAAAGTCCCATCAGAGACCAGCCATGGACAGGCCACATGCAAAACCACACAGCACTCTGGCTGCCAGCTCCAAGGGCCCAGGGGCCTTGGAAGCGGTGGGCAGGGGAGCTGGCACACCTGACTAAATGCTCCAGTGTCTGCTTTCCTCCAAGACTCCCCACACAGCAGCCAGCAGAAATCCCCTCCCGAGGGCCAAGGCAGGGACGCAGAGTGGCACAGCCCCTCCCCACGGTAAGCGTCCAGGGGGTGTGGGGGGGCCCCCACATCTGGTACTGATGTGCAAATTCTTGTCTGTGGGGTCCGGCCAAGCCAGCGATTCCCAGGCAGGGCGGAGCAGGAAGGACAGGCCGCCCCTGCGTGCGTGGGCTGCCCACACAGCCCTCTGCTCACACCAACATCATCTTCTGGGTAACTAAAGTAATGTAGGGGTGCTGATGAAGTAAGTCCTCTAAAGGCTGTCACTGGTAAGAAACGGAGCCCGGGCTGGGTGTAAGGTCCACACGGGTAGCCCAAGCTATTGAGGTGGTAGTGACCAGGAGGCCCACAAGCCTGGGCAGAACGTGAGTGAGAGCCCAGCTCCGTCAACAAGCCAGGTGCGGCCAGCTCAGCTGGGGGCGGGCGAGGGGGACGCCCCGAGTCCCAGCTCAGTCAACAAGCCAGGGGTGGGATGTGCTAAGCCTAGGCAAAAACACAAGGCCCTATCTGGAAAATAACTAAAGCAAAGCAAAGCAAAGCAAAACAAAACACCAAAGGGCTGTGTGTGTGTGTCTATCAAGTGGCAGAGAAGAACCTACCAAATATGAGGTCCTGAGTTCCAAACACTCCAACTCCGTTACACTGCCAAGAAGAAAAGAAAACTCCTGACCTACATTTTATTATCCAGAATGAGGCACCTCTGGGACAATACCTTGACTGGTGCCCAGTGCTCTTCTGGGCACACGTCTGAGGCCTCTCCCCGCCCCCCCCCAACCCGGCCCAGGTGAATGACCCCAGCTGATGTCTGGAAACCTTGCAACCAACATCTTCAGAGCACACATCTGTGCCCTGTCCAGGTTTTCCAATGGGACAAATGGGAAGACATACACTCACGAGTTAAGGGATTTGTGGTTTTATTGCAAAATGCCCTGCAGAACACACTGCTAGAGCTCTTGCGTTTTAATGAGAAGATACAGACCGGCCTTTGAGAACTTCTGTTTTGTTTTGGTGCATTTGTACATGCCTATTTGGGATTTTTTTTAATGTATTTTTCAGATAGCGTTTGGCTTTAGCCCAAGATTCACCTACCTATGTCCCCTGTGTAGCTGGGATTACAGGTGCTGCTCACTGCTACCACGTTTGGCACGTTGGTTGCGACTGGGAAGGAGGTGTGTCTCACTTTTTGTCTGGGCTGGCTTAGAACCCTGATCCTCCCACAATCTCTACCTCCCAACTGGCTGCAACTTTGGGTATACATTCCACCCACTGTTTGCGACAGTTTGCTACCCATGAGAAAATAGTTCTAATTGCTTTATTTCCCATCTAAAGTCACAAAGTCTATAAACTGGGGGCCAGCTGCATCTATAGGAATGAGGGTGGAGTTGGGCAGAGGTAAGGAAACCTTTCTGGCTGAGACATCTGGCAAGGGCATAGGAAGAGGCAAGTTTTTTCACCACGGAGGAGGACACAAGGCAGGTCAGGGAAGGCCGGCTGGCTCTGTGCCTTCATTCTGGAAGGTACTTGGTGAATCCAGAGTGCCGAGGCACTCTGACTGCTAGTGCTTCATATTCAGTCCAATGTCATTTAAACCAAGGTTTCTACAAATTCTTTTGTCAATCCAATTCTGGCAAAGTCTAAAGTGCCAGTGGGCAACTCGTGACATAAAACAATTGGTGGCTCGAGTCAGGGCCTGTGGGCCTGGCGCTCCACGCGGGGCCTGTGGGCCTGGCGCTCCACGCGGGGCCTGCGGGCCTGGCGCTCCAGGCGGGGCCTGCGGGCCCGGCGCTTCAGGAGGGGGCTGCGGGCCCGGCGCTCCACGTGGGGCCTGCGGGCCCGGTGCTCCACGTGGGCCTGCGGGCCCGGCGCTCCAGGCGGGGCCTGTCTGCCGGTACCGAGGGCCGATGGCAGCCTGCAAACGGTCTACAAGAGCAACTCTGACTTCCATGGTCTTCTGGCTGACTGTACAGGGCCAGCTCTCCCCTGCTGGACAGCACATGGAATACATGGAACTCGGAAGTCAAAAAGTGATGTGGACAAGGAGCACGCGGCCCACAGGCGCGCGGGTCGGGCTGTCTAAGAGGAAGGTTGTTCTCTCTAGTCCCTCAGCGATGCCTCCTACCTGGCACACAAACCAGAAAGGCGCATGCCCCAAAGAGCAAACACGCGCGCACCCGCACCCCCACCCCCAGCTCATCAAGGGGATCAGGTGAGCAGCAGGAATGTAAGTCACGAGGGGGCTGGGGCCTACCCATGCTCATCCCACCAAAAGGATGTGCCATCAATTGTCCATTAAGTGGTGACATTCTGGAACTTTCTAGGCAGCATCTCTGAGGGAAGATGAAACCAAGGCAATGGGTTTTTGGAGCTGCTGGGCTGGGCATGCTCTGGGCCAGCCCCGGCTCCACAGCGGCCAGGCTAGCGCAGGCCACACCTGCCTGACGGCAAACACCTGGGGCTTCCGGCTCCATCTCAGATACTTGGAAAAGCAACTCTCATGTGGGCAACATGGTGACCGCCAGGCTCAGCCATCCAACCAACCAATGAATGTGCTGCTCAGGGCTACGTGCACGCCCTGGTACCCAGAAGTGGACAGTTTCCTACCTAAATGACTAAGCAATACTTTGCTGAGCACCACAAAGAAGGAAGGGCAGGGCTGCTGTGAACACGGACAAGGAGCGGGGGACTGGCTCTCACCCAGAGACAAGGGCAGCCCCATCCACCAGGAGGGGAGAGAGTGAGCGGAAACAGAAGGACGGGGCACAGCAACGGCACAGGCAGTGGGCTAGGCCTCGGGACGCCAGCCTAACAGGACAGATGGGAATCCTGCGGCAGAGAAGACGTCGCTTTCAACTTAAAAAAAAAAAAGTTGCTCTTTCCCTTTCCTGTGACCTGTACCCAGAGGTCTGAGCCGCCATGCACTGTGGTAAGAGTTAGCTGAATAAGCCAGGCGCCGGTGGTGCACGCCTGTCATCTAGCTATTCAGGAGGCTGAGATCTGAGGATCGAGGATCACGGTTCAAAGCTAGCCTGGGCAGAAAAGTCCCCATGAGACTCCCATCTCCAATGAACCCTGAGAAAACCGGAAGTCGAAGCTGTGGCTGAAGTGATAGAATGCACTAGCCTTGAGCCGAAGAGCTGAGGGACATCGCTCAGGCCCAGAGTTCAAGTCCCCCGACCAAAACAAAACAAAAAGTTAGCTGAATGGGCTGAGAATGTGGCGTTAGTGGTAGAGTGCTCAGCTAGCATACATAAAACCCTGGGTTTGATTCCTCAGTACCACATAAAAAGAAAAGTCAGAAATGGCGCTGTGGCTCAAGTGGTAGAGTGCTAGCCTTGAGCAAAAGAAGCTCAGGGACAGCGCCTAGGCTCTGAGTTCAAGCCCCACGACTGGAAAGGGAAAAAAAAAAAAAAAAAAAAAAAGCTGAAGGTCAAGGCACAGTTAGAGAATTGCACCTGCTTCCAAGCCAAGAGGCCCCGGTATCTAACTGGATTGGGTGCTCCATTTCTGGATCTACCTCCTGTGCCACACAATCCTAATTCCAGAGGCGGCAGAAGAGATGGAGCGAGGGCAGAAGTGTGACGAGTGTCACGGTGCCCAGGACCGCACCAACACAGAGCCCACTGCATCCCATGCCACCACTGGCAAAGCTGTGTCCAGCAGAGGCTGCAAGCAAAGGGCAAATACTGCTGGGGACACAGCAGGGGGTGTCTAAGTGGTTCTAGGGTTGAGGAGTTGCGCTGCCCAGCTCCCGCAGACACAGACAAACATTCCATTACCAAGTCACCCTGGTTTGGTTTGGAAGGATCAAAAAAGCTCATCCTTAGCCGGGCGCTGGTGGCTCACGCCTGTAATCCTAGCTACTCAGGAGGCTGAGATCTGAGGATCGCGGTTCAAAGCCAGCCCGGGCAGGAGAGACAGTGAGACTCTTATCTCCAATAAACCACCAGAAAACCGGAAGTGGCGCTGTAGCTCAAGTGGTAGAGCGCTGGCCTTGAGCTGAAGAGCTGAGGGACAGCGCCCAGGCCCAGAGTTCAAGCCCCACGACCGACAAAAAAAAAAAAAAAAAAAAAAAAAAAAAAGCTCATCCTTGCAATTCTGCCTTATTTTTTCATCAGCTACATAAGGGGACAGCAGTACTAACTCAGTTGGCTTAACCTATTTAATAAAATTGATCTGCATTTCCTTTGGCTCTAGAGCATGGAAACATGAGACCCTTAAGGATGCTGTGAACCACAAAGTCAGGAACCTCTGGGTTAATGAAAATAAAATTCTGTTGTGCCAAAGTTCATAGACCTATGATAAGCTTGCCTGCTTTTCAAAGATATTCTCCTCAGGCTGGGAAGGTGGCTCGGTGGTAGAGCGCTTGCCTTGCATGCCTGAGGCCCTGGGTTTGATTCCCCAGCACCACATAAGCAAAAAGAAAAAACCCGGAAGTGGCACTGTGACTCAAGTGGTCGAGCGCTAGCCTTGAGCTGAAGAGCTGAGGGACAGCGCCCAAGCCCAGAATTCAGGCCCCACGACCAGACCCAAAAAAAACAAAACAAACAAAGATATTCTCCTCTATCATTTCACTTCTCACCAAAGTGATGGGGCTATTTTTTTGGGGGGTGGGGTGGGGTGGTCATGGGGCTTGAACTCAGGACCTGGGTACTGTCCTTTAGCTCTTCAGCTCAAGGCAAGCGCTCTACGGCTTGAGCCACAGAGTCCCTTCCAGTTTTCTAGTGGTTTATTGGAGATAAGTCTCCTGGACTTTCCTGCCCAGGCTGGCTTTGAACCATGATCCTCAGATCTCAGCCTCCTGAGTAGTTAGGATGACAGGCGTGAGCCACTGGCGCCTGGCTGATGGGACTATTTTTAAGTTCTATTTTTTCTGAACTTCAAAAGGTTGTACAGGGAAGGTGTCCATCCATGTGTCCAGTGCTTCATCAGAGATACCCCTGTGAGACGTTCTGATATTCCTGACCTTATCTGTGACCTAGCTAATAGTATGCACAACTTACAAGTCTCTAGAGAAAAGTTTATGTGAGTAAGTCCAAAGCAGGTTGGGGAAGCCTGAGTGTTTCCACAACAGCGTCCCACTCCCCACCCACCCCAGGCTCAGTCTTGCCATCAGCCTGGCAACACGGGCTCCTCTTTTGAGAAGAGGAGCAGGAGGGAAGGACAGGAGGAGAGGACACAAACAAGAAGAAGAGAAAAAGATCACAAACTGCCCAGAAATCATCTGATTTCAGTTCCCAATTTCACCAGGTTTTGACTGGCTACACACTGTCTAGCTGAAGTCCTCAACTGTACTGGGCCACTAAAGCGACAGCGTGGTGGCGGCAGGCTGGCGGGGAAGGCTGGAGCGGCTGTGGAGATCAGTGCTGAGCCCCAGGTCCCCAGGAAGCACAATCCTCAGCGAAGAAAACCAAAAGTACGGTTAACTCAAAGTGTCCTGAATTCTCCCAGAAAATCTGGTTACTATGCTTTCTGGCACTCTACAGAAGCCATTACCACACTGGTTTGTACGGGCTGCAGCAAGTGCCCATCCCGTTCTGAGCTGGTGCTCAGGCCTGTCACTTAGCCCTCCTCTGTGTGAAGCAGGCAGTGGTATCATCAATTTTACCACCCCCGCCCCCCATGGCAACACAGAAGCGCGGTGGTCACCTGCAGAAGAATGACTCTGGCATGCTTACTCAG